GTCTTAACAGGCATACGAGAGAGAGGGAGGGAGGCAGAGAGAGAGAGGGAGGCAGAGAGAGAGAGGGAGGCAGAGAGAGGGAGGGAGAAAGCGGGAGGGAGAAAGAGGGAGGGAGAAAGAGGGAGGGAGAAAGAGGGAGGGAGAGAGTTGTGTACAATATATTTTATTTATTCCATGAAAGTAAACTGAATTATATTACTGAGCCTTTGACACCAAAGTTCTAAATTCTCACTTACTCTAAAATAATTTGATCCCTTCAGGTTATCAGCCGGTTTTATATTATTTTTTTTCTCACAAATGATTCTAAGGACGAGTTTGCTTCCACTTCGCTTAAATACAAATTTAGGGAACTCAAATATGTATACACTTTTTGCTTCATATGGTTTTCATATGCTCTGAAGAGTTTTAAAAATATAAACTCTTTCAGGCTTTGCTTTTGATATGAGTTACTTTTCACAATTTTATTTCAAAATAATATCTAAATTGTAATATCTCAATAGAAAAATCTCAAAAGTACAAACGACAAAAACTGAAAAGATAATGAAAAGATTTATCTTATAAGTAACAAATCAGGACCTTTGAGGACTTGAGCAGATGCAAACTATGGTAATGCTGAGAACGCAAAATCATTTTCAAGGTAATTTCTTTAATTTTAGCATTAACAAAAATCAATAACTTTATCCATTTGTGAAGATGAACTCGTTTCTTTAGAAGGTATTTCTAAAAAAAAATTTATATGGCTGTTAAATCTTTCGGATGATTTAAATTCTATATTTGTAGAGAAACCCGTGATCTTTTCACGTGATAATCAATCTGTAAATGATTTATTGAATAATCGAAAACCATTTTTTTTCCGCACAAGACACATAAATTTGATACTTGATCTCGTCAAGAATATAATTGGGAAAACTTTAAAATTTGAATATGTTCAAAAGAATGAAATGGTCACATATTTAAGTAAAGCCGTGACTTTTGACTAGCTAACAAGAACTCTGTCAAAAATTAGTTCGGTTGATTAATTTTTGCTTCACAAGAAATTAGCTCATGAAATTTATGGTTTTTATTTTTTGAAAAATGTGTTTCCTCACAGAGGGAGCATTGTAGATATACGAACAATCATCCCATCTTTCTTTCTTCCCAAGCAAGTTGCGTCATGCAGATTTCTCGGTATTAAAATAAACCTATATAACAAATATGCAAACGCCTGAGAGGGTGGTGTAGTTAATTTCTTTTTCATGTACTTTGGCATCACTGTGTGTGTGATGTTTTCCCAATTGCACTGTGTGTATGATGTATATTTTATAGTTTTGTTCTTTAGTAAACCTTTCTTTGCTGGCAAATGATGTATATTTTACAGTTTTGTTCTTTAGTAAACTTTTCTTTGTCGGCAATTACGCTTGTTTTCCTCAACCTCAATAAATAACATTAAAGAACATTCAACCTATTCTTGACTTGAATGATTCACGCAAAATTTCACATTTTTCAATATCAGGTTCCCCATTAGTTAAGCAATGAACTTTTTTGTGAAAATTTTCTTCACCTTAATACCGAAAAGTATTTCCTTGTTAGACTCATAAGAATGATAAAAATAATTTGTTCTGTTGTTAACCTGGATAAAATAAGCTGTCGTAAACGATAAATGGAGTTTTTTAAAGGATGTTAATGGATGTTTTCTGTGTTACGAAAATTTCTTCAATTTTTTAAAAAAATTATTAAAAATATATCTTAACTGATTCTTTAAATAATTTTAGGGAAAAAAAAATAATGAATATATATGGAAATGAAACAAAGTAAAATATATAGGATTTAATGCTATATATTTCGTTTTGTCCTTTCTCAATGAACCTTCTTCAGTGTCTAAAGACTAAAAGTTATCGTGTTTAGTCACTGAGGAAGGTTCTTATTTGGAGAACAGTACCTATAATATATCCTTTTGAACTTTATTAATGCTTTATTCATGTTGCGTTTTATTTTAATTTTGCAGTTTAAGGCGAAGGTTCTTAAACAAAACTTTTCAAACTCTTTTAAAGCAGAATATTTCCTTTCACCGTGTGAAAACACGATTATACAAATTATTTTTATAATCTAAAATATAGGGCAATAGAATCTAGTTCCCTAACCAGACATTTCTTTACAAGAGTTATGAACAAAAGTATTCCCATGAAATTCAAAAGACCAAAGGAGTAAATTGGTCCAAAAGAGAGATGAAATGAGTTAGAATAAGATTTTATCCAGTCTAAAAAAGAGACGGCATTCAAAATGTCAGTTTCCTTATCGGATGAACGATTACTTTTAGTTCATTTTCTAAAAGACGGACGAAGTTTAATTGGTTAATTAGCTAAATAGAGTAGTGGTAGAATTTAATCCGATATATTTCGTTTTGTTCTTCCTCAATGAACGTTTTTCAGTGTCTAAAGACTAAAAGTTTTGGTGTTTAGTCACTGAGGAAGGTTCTTATTTGTAGAAGAGTAACGATAATATATCCTTCTGAACTTTTTTAATGCTTTATTCATGTTGTTTTTCACTTTAATTTTACTGTTTAATGCGAAGGTTCTTGAACAAAACTTTTCGAACTATCTTTCAAAGCAAAATTTTTTTTTTCACCGAGTAAAACCACGATTATATACAAACTATTTTTATTCCCTAAAATTTAGAGCAATAGAATCTAGTGCAGAAGTACCATGACCAGACATTTCTCTACAAGAATTATGAACATAAATTCTCCCATGAAGTTCAAAAGACCAAAGGAGTAAGTTGGGAGTCCAAAAGAGACTTCAAAAGAGTTACGATCAGATCTACTCCAGTTTAAATAATAGTCGGCATACAAAAATGTCCGTTTCTATATCGGATGAAAGAATATTTTTAGTTCATTTTCTGAAAGACGGACATAGTTTAATCGCTTAATTAACTAAATAGAGTCGCGGTGGCTCAGGGGAAAAACTTTCGCCTCCTAATGGAGTGACTTCAGGTTCGAATCTCAGCGGTGGCTGGTTGATAGGAATTCTGTACCCGGCTCGCAATGACCACAGTGCTGATGTAAAATATCTTTAGTGGTTGACGGATCATGGAATATAATCCCTCGGTCTAATTCACCGAGGTTTTCCTCTTCATGTAATGAAAATGCAGGTTAGTTCCATCAAAATGTTCTCTACCAAGGCTAGTATGTTGCAATGCTTGATCCAGGAGTTACCTTGCCTTCTGGGTTGGTTTCAAAATTACAAGGCTACGTATTCGAACAATCATAATCGTATATTTAAAACTGGGTTGGTTGTTCAATACCAGTTGTAAAATTAAATTAAATTGACTAAATAAACTAAGACTTTTATAAATTTTATATGCATTATTTAATGAAACAAACTTTATAAAAACAAACAAACCAATTAATTACATTTGTATTATACAAACTGTTTAATAAATAAGTCTTTTTTTTGGTAAGACAAATATCTAACTAATATATTTATGGGAAAAGTGGATTTTGAAGTTTAAACTGTTGAAAATGTGTTAAATTTTATCTGTCGCAAAGTAGCCAATTATTAATGGTATGATATCATACACTCATTTAATGCATAATTTTTATTCTTTTATTCATTCATTACAACTTTCACGGAAGAGATTCTTTCATGTCATGTATTTTTCCCATCAAGTATTCGTATTTTTCGATTAACATTAGTTGTGTTAAAATTTCGTAGATTATTAAATTCGTTAAATTTTTTAAAAAAAACTTAATTAATTGATTGATTAATCCTATGACTGTTTATGTAAGAAAAAGGAACAAGAATAATATTTTTTACTGAGCTTTTGACTTATACGTTACGCTATCTTACGATTTTAAATGTGTTTTTTTTAACACAATACTAAATCACAGAAATACACAATACTTTCACAGAACTGTACCTTCACACACAATACTTTCGCAGAAATTTATTATGTTTGTGTGTTTAATCACTGGTTTCAAACGTGTTTTTCCTCTGTAAAGATTTTCAATTTATTGGTTTTCAATTTAATGTTCATTAAATGAGCGTTTAATTGTTGTTTTAAAATGTAAACTGCTATTATTCTGACTTCCAATTTTGGTTTTAAATTTATGATGATATAGAAAAGTCTTTTTGATATTATATTAAGTTTTGTTGTCTTTATTCCTTGTGCTTTAATATTTTATAGTTTCAGTCCACCTTTGGAAAAAGTGTTAAATATGTTAAACTTGATTTTTCGAAATTAAGTTAGAAAATTTGATTTAGCTTGTAATTTTCAAAAATTCCTTACTAAAAAAAACTTCATTTGACAAATTCATAAACTCTTCTGAGGATGTTTGTAGTCTGTGTTTTGCAGTACTTAGATATTTCAACATGGTTTTTCGAATCGCTTTCGCTTAGGAAAATAAAAAAGCCACAGTTTAAGTGCTTTACACTTGCATCAAAGCTATAATTTTATACCGTGTACCCACATAATTATAAACTATACCGTAAAACCATCTTGCCATGAAAGATTATCTGGTTTTATAATGGAAAAATAACAGGCATAGCTAGCAACAGTTTTTCTTGACTGTTAGCTCAAATTTAGCCGATTTTTAGCTAGGGTCTTCTATGTTTATTTTGAAAATGACGTAAAAAAAGGCAATATGGAGAAAAGTCACAGTTTTGAGAAAATAAAAAGCGTTGGTGGTCTAATTTTCAAATATTTAAAAAGTTACTGAAACGCTGAATTATCTGAGCTCATAAAAAATTTGTAAGCATTAAGATTAAGGCATTGATTTTGGTAATTTTCATCTAGTTGAAAAATTGTCGCTAAATTGGCAATTTATAAAAAAAAAGCAATAACTTTTAAAATATTTCAGCAATTAGTTCCTTCTAAAGCAAAAATAATTCTTTACATTAAAATGGCATTTGCAGTTTAAAATTAATATTATGCTTTAAGGGTAAGGAACTTATACTGTGGCACTTTTTTCCCTTGGTGAAACAGCTCCGAAAAACCATGCTAACCTAATACAATAAAAATAAACAGGCAATTAAATAAATTTATTTTAATTTCAGGTAAGCTTTAAAGAATTGTCTTTTGCTTGAAAAAAAAAGAAAAGAAAGCATGAATTTCCAGACTTGTTCGAGTGCATACAGAAACAAGCAAAAAATATATGCTGAAACTATCTTTTTCTCACTAGGCATTTTTTCACAGTTTTAACCACCTAAGTTGATAGAACATTCTAGTCTTACAGTAGCTCATTAATAGTAGTAATCATCTGTAGTTGAGGGCGAAGCGGGTGCTTCTGTTACGAGACTTTTATCTGTAACTACGTTTCCATCACCATCTTTTTCATAAGAATAATGATATGAAAATCCTTCTCCGTTGCTCTCTTCTTTCGAATAGTGATAAGAAACTCCGCTGCTTTCTTCTTTCGAATAGTGGTAGGAAGCGTCCGCTTGATCACCATCGCCTTCGTATTCGTAATCCTCTCCTGCTTCTCCACTACCTTCTCCACTAGCAGAGACTTTTTTCACTTTTTTGATGATAATTCTCGCAGTTCTTCTTTCGACAGGTGCAGATGTAGCTGTAGCTGTAACTGCAGCTGGAGTAGTTGTAGGTACTTCCTTAACTACAGTTCCACCGCCTCCACTTCCTCCCTCATCCAGTATTTTTTTAATAATTATTATAGTTTTACCTCCACTTTCCCCTCCACTTTCACCTCCACTTTCCCCTCCACTTTCACCTCCACCTTCATTTGCACCTCCACCTTCCTTTGCACCTCCACCTCCTTCCTCTTCCTTTGTTATTATCACTTCACCTGAATTTCCTCCTCCTCCTCCTTCTTCCTCTTCCTTTTTAATAACCACTCCACCTCCACCTTTCTTTACCAGCCTTTTCTTCTTAACGCATTCTGCAAAAATAATTAAATTTTAAAAGTTACTGAATTACTGCAGTTAGTAACTCTTACTAAGTTACTATAGGTAATTGTATTTTTCAAATAAAAAATATTTTACAGCTTTACAGACCGTGGGAAGTATACTTCCTGCTGACTTCATTAGCTTTTAACAGTTTGACGCGGATGGGACACAGGTGTCAATTTTATATATATTTTTTCTGACTCTCTAATTACGAGTAAAAAATTAATTTTGATAGTTTTTAATTATGAAAAATCAATCAAATAGTTACAAAAAAATCTGCTAGATTATCGGATTTTTATTTGTACTAAAATATAAAACCCCAAAAAAGTAGTCTCGAAAGAAAAAAATCATTCATATTCAAAAATTTATCAGTAATTGATTTTGAAAATTAAAGAAATTTCAAAGAAATTTTCTCTTAGATCTAAATAACTGCAATTAAGTTCATATTCGAAAACATATTGTTTGGAAGTGAGCGATGTTTTGAAGATTTTACCATTAACGCAGAAAAAGACACCGGTGTTTAATGCTGAATTTCATAACTGTAATTTATTAAAATGCTCAATATTTTATTTTTTTGTTTAGTTTGACCTGAATCGGTACAAAATAAGGAAAAATGCATAAAAAATATGTTTAATAAAACATCTACGTCAGAGGTTTAAATGCCGATGGGAAGTTAAATTTCCGTTTATGATTTTTGAGACCAACTGCTTATAACTTCAGAAAATACAAAAAATACAATATCTAAGAAAAGCTTTGTTTAACTCATATGTGGGGAACTCTAAAGTTTGAAGTGGGGCAAAGAAGAGAGATCAAATCTAGGGAGTGGTTTTCTCCTGTGCGTTATATGTTCGCTCATTGGATAACTTTATATCGAGTTTATTAATAGTTATAAACACAGAAAATTATAAATTTGCAAGTTAATAAGCATAAAAGTTCTAGCTTATGGTCAATTTCTTACAGTAAGTAAAATTTTGAAAATCTCACAGACCATCCCAACAATATATATAATATATATGCTACGGCCAAAGCCCGAAGTCGGCCAATTCGCGATATGGCCAAGAACGCTGTAAATTAGCTGGCCAAAGTCCAAAAATTGTTCGTGATTTCGGAAAATGGCTGCACAAATCGCGAATTGGCATGGGAAGATCAGCCAAAGTTGGAAGAAAAAATTATTATACCAGGCAAACCGGGCAAATGTATACCGGGCAGGGGCACTTGACCTTAAAAAAACATCAGTGTAGGATATACCAGGCAAATGTATACCGGGCAGTGGCACTTGACCTTAAAAAAACATCAGTGTAGGGTATACCGGGCAAATATATACCGGGCAGTGGCACTTGATCTTAAAAAAACATCAGTGTAGGATATACCGGGCAAATGCATACCGGGCAGTTGTACTTGTCATACTAGACCTAGTATGACAAGACCTTTGGTATGCATGACAATTAAATAGACAATTTAATAATGATTATTAAATTAATGATTATTTAATAGACAATTTAAAAACTTCTATTTTTCATATTTTAAATTAAAAGATTTATAAGAATTATTTATATAATTATAGAAGGCCGCCGAAGTAAAATATTCACTGATCGTTTCAATTATTTCGGACTTTGGCCAGCCATCCTCGGCCACTTCGCGATCTGGCCGGCCAATTCCCGAAATCAAGAACAATTTCGGACTTTGGCCAGCCATCTTCGGCCACTTCGCGATCTGGCCGGACTTCGGGGTTTGGCCGTAACATATATATATATATATATATTAGATTATGATGTTTTTATTCACTGTTTACTGTTTTGTGTTCTGTAGATATTTATATCAATAGAATTTTTNATATATGCAGTGCAAATAAATAGATAGATATAAATATATATATATATAAATGGTCCAAAAAAAATTGACATTGTAAACGGGTCACATCAAACTCCGACTTTAAAAATGTATGTTTATAGTTACGTAATATAAACGTAATGTTTATAAATACTTTCTGCGATCTTACAAAAATTAGGAGTGAAAAAAAGATTATTTTGAATATTGCAATAGAAAATAATTTTGTAGTATTTAGTTTGTTCTCGTTAGTTTTGTATGATTATTAGAAATTAAATGTAAATATTTTATAATTAATATCTGTGATCTTTATTTTTTCTTTTTGTTTTCTCGCTTCTTCTTTATAAGCACAAGTATAATGATTCAAAAGGTATGCATTCCGTACAATACTGCAATTAATTGGGTACTTGCACTTCAAGAGGAAAAAGATCACAGATACCCACACATGTGATCTATGATGTCAACTCCAGAGATGATCGTTTATAAGCAAGATTTCGTGTTAAAGTTGAGCTAAGTTTCTCCACATAAGTTAGAATGTTGATTAACGTGAAGTTAATTTAATTCAGAGCCGTATCGCGCATCGAATTTGTTTTAATATAATTCTTCCTCGTCTACGCCTTTTACTTAACTTAGATTTATTATTTGTTTATGTGATTGATTGTAAGCATGATATATTTTTGTTTTGTGTACCTGGCAAATTCGATGCACTATTAGTTTGTTTATGTTCTACGTGACTGCACGCCAGTTTTTCTGTTAAATAAGAAATGTATAGTGAAAGAATTGAAATCCTTGTGAAAGAATCTTTGTGTAAGAGTTATAGAATATGTTATTTAAAAGAATTGATGGGGATGGCTTGCATGGAATAGAATGGAGAGAAAAGTTGCTAATGTAAACAAATACCACGTTTCAACAACCAATCAGGATAGAGATTCCCACACTTTGTCACTTGTTGGTATCCCATTGGCGTAAAAATATTTAGAGTTAAAATCGTAGCTACAGCGAGCTTAGAGCTTGCTTTGTTGAAATCTTATCTACAACAATCAGTCGAATCATATTATTCTGGTTAACTGGTGCAAAAGTTGCCCTCATGAAATCTGTTAAAGTATTTTAAACACCGTCCTGAACAAATCATGACATGAAAATGTTAAGCGCAGTACTGACATACTTTGTAGATAAATAAAGACTTTGTGTAGTTGGAGGGCAAGAGTCATTGGAATCTAAAATATTATTTACTTATTTACTTTCGAAAATTTTATTTTTGGAATTACGGTAACTTAAAAACGAATGAACCAAACAAGACTTTGAGCTTTTTAAAGTTTAAAGGTCTGAATCATCTTTCTTCATTTTTTGTAAACAATTTTTAAATCAGCAAAATTTCCATTTTACATTAGATATAATAGTTAAAATACAACTTTTGTATGTCTTAGTCTGTCTAAAACAAGTGATCCTCTAGAAGGGCAATCTTTTATTACTATTAGAGTTATTGTGTTCTAAAGATTATTGTTATTATTCTCTTTTCGCAAATTTTATTTTCGGAATTAAAGTGACGAATGAACCAAACTTATAATGAAAATTCAAGATTTCTAAGACTTTAAGATCGGAATCAGTTCACATATTTATTAAACAGTTTTTAAGTCAGCAAGATGTACGTTTCATGTTAGGCTTAATAGTTAAAATAGAACTTTTGCTTGCCTTCGTCTGCCTAAAACAAATGATTCTCTAGAGGCAATCAAGAGGGCAATATTTTATTTTATGTCCTGCATAAAATGAAAGATTACCCTTCTAAAGAATCATACTAAATAACATGTGCTTATAAAAATTTTAATTATTTTATTAAATTGACAAATATTAAATTATTTATGTGTAAAAAAATTTGTTATATGTTAAATATTATGCATTATAAATTATAAAATATTTATTATAAATTATATATTATATACTATAAAATTTATTATGTATGAAAATTATTTATATATTACATCTAAAACAAAAACTTGTAATAATTTGCACAATATTATTATGTTTTAAAATTAAATTTGGATATATGTGGGCCTTAATTATGAAATCAAATAAAGTATTAAATAAATTATTTATATATACCATAATTGATAATTTTTTTTCTAAAATTCTAATTTTTATTTACATTATTTTATTTTTCGATTTTGACAGTCATAAACTATGTTAGACGATTTGATTTTGTTAATAATGAGACTAATTAAACTTATTACTTACTTTTGGACGTTTTAGCACTACCTGTGAAAGAAAAATAATATTATAATCATTTGTTTAAATCCACCTCATGTAAGAAATACAGTAACAAAATAATATGAGATAACTATTTTGAATAACTAAAAATTTGCATATAAAGTAAATATCAAGTTTATTTCAGTTGGCTTGCCAGGTTAGACCGCTCTAGAGGCAGATAAAGCAAGCATTTGTACCGGTTTTTTCAAAAATAGTGCATTTTTGTTTAAAAATTAAAATTCGCAAGCAGAATTCTCTGAAATTTGTTTATGATAACTATAAATACGCAATAAATCGAAATAATCTTTTGGACTTATGTAAATAATATTCCTCTGAATATATAGTTTAAATTGGAAATTAATCGGGGACGGTTTTTTTTAAAATTACGACTTCAATACGATATATATGTATATCACATATACATAAAGCAAAGTCTTCGAGTTACGATTAATAAAAAATGTAGTTTCAAGAAACAAATCTGCGAACATTTTTGATCCTATAGAGTGGATTATTTGAACCTGTTTCTGTAAAATTCAAAATTCAAGCACTTGGATCTTTTTTCTGCTCATAAATATGGGGAAGTATTATTTTAACCCTTAAAGAACCGTGGTCTGTAAGGGTTAACGCGATTCTATTTTCACAACCTATGGTATCATATATGACACTAGAATTTTCGACTCCATCAGCCCATGGTAACACGGCCGTGATTTTGATTTGGAACTTTTTATTTCAATTTTTAAATGGTGGTTGTAGTCCGGCTAACAGAGAATTGAGCTTCAATATGAGCTTTCGGTTCAGAGTGTTTTTTTTAAAATTATTATTGTTTGATCCGGAGTATTGAAACATGCAAACAATTGCACGTGTTCGACTCTTTTTAGAAGATTGAACACGTGCAATTGTTGAAAAGCGTCAATCTGAATTAAAACACCTTTTATATTGTGTTTAGACGTCTATTTTTAGATTTATTTTATTTTATATATTACTTGCAAGATATTTAATTACTCAAATAAATTTTTATTCATTTCATATATGTACTATTGATGCATACCCCCAGAAGAGGACGATGCTGAGGAACTGGCACTACCTATAACAAAACAAAAAATAATTAGGTGTTAAACAATATTTAGTAAAAAATAAAAAAAAATTGTGCAGAGCTTTTATTATTGTAAATAGTCACCCAATGAAGGTAGCGTACTGAAAGGTGGGGTTATTAAATGATATATAGGTAATCACCCATAAATTTAATTTTGCACGTATTTCTCTTTTATTGCATTTAATACGAAATTTACAATTCTACTTGAATTTTATAAATGAAAAATATTAAAGTATCAATTGATGCGCATCCTAAAAAAATTAGGACTTTAACTCTTTGCGATCGTATTAAGTTGATACATGGGTGTCATGCTGGTCGGAATTAATTTTCGTTGCACGAGCAGTAAGTAATACATAATATGCGGTCCCGCAGTGGACTGATCGTTAAGACACGGTTCACAGCAGATCACCGAAGTCAAGCATCACTGGTTGTGGGCAGTGTGCGGGCGGGTGACCACTTGGATCAGTCTGCGTAGGGACCGAGGGCGTGCGGTATTGGTCCCCGTTAAACTGTTCTACCGTAAAGTGCTCGACTTCGCGTGCAGGTCGTCGGGCTACCGAAGCGGGAGTGCCATCCCCTCTGCAGAGGATCAAAATTGTGGTGGTATGTCTTCGGATCATCCTCAGGGATGTTTCCCAGACTGTCCCCAATAGCCCATTGTGCAGCTCTAGTGCGACGTAAATGAACTTGAACAGCATAATATGCGAGATTAAGAAAGAAAAATGAAATTTTTAAATTCTCTTAGAAACTTTAGAAATATGTAACTCAATAATATATTTTATGCAAAAATTACATTTTATAGTTCTCCATCGTGTGGTATTTTTCAAAGCAGTCTCCAATATGAAACCTTGTTTTTCGAGCACATGTGTCACAAAAATAATTAGTTTGGCTTCTTCCGCCTAATTTTTTTGTTTGAACATACAGAACTATCTCTACTCTTTAAATTTTCAGAGTGCTGCAATATATGTAGTTTGCCATTAAGCTGTGGCTAACATCTTTGCTGCGATGGCTTAGAGCAGACATACGACTGGAACGGTAAGAAAGCGTTTTTTGGCTGAGAGTAGACATACAACCAGCAAAGGGTTAAAAAGCACGTTTTGTTACGTTTTACACTTTACACAGAGGCTAATGCTTACCTCCACCACTAGAACTTGCTGCGGCAGCTGCACTACCTAAAATAGACAATGTTTTATTATATAAACACTATAAGTCAAAATTGGAAGAGTCTACAAACAACTCAACAAAATAAAGAACAAAATAAATAAATTTAAATATTTTCTATACTATTGCTGAATAATATTGCCATATTTATATGCATTTTTAGTGATCATTCCTGATTATTGATTTATACTTTAATTTAATACAGTAGCTGAGATAAATTCAAGAATTCCTTCTGAGCAATCTCTCCTAACAAGGTTGATGAGATTGGGTAGGAGAAATTATAATTTACAACAACACTACAATCGTTAACAAAAATAATTACTCGTGAATAATAATTTTAAAATGTTTTTGTAAGCAAATATTATTGTATTAGCAGTGAATGTTTCAACCTAATACTTGAAGAGTTCGTTATGTGAAATAATTAAAGAATTTAAATTTTGCAGAAAGGCTGAAAAGGATTAACGATCCTTGAATCGTTGGCAAACTTTTGTTAGTCTCTATTTTAGCTTCTGGAAACACTTAAACTATTTTCTAACATAGATACCATATTCCATTCTTTCTTAGCATGAGACTTGTAGTCTCTCCCATTTTGTTTAGATATATACGGCTTTTCATTTAAACATGACCGTTTTTAGAAAGAACTGTTGGTATAAGCACTATTAAACAAGAATCGTAAATAAATAGGAATAAATAAATTCTAAGATATTTTAATTTCCCGTTAGTCTGAGGAAGAGTTATTATTCAGGCACGACCATTGAAATAAAATAGATCTGCTTTATACTTGCTTTATACTTACAAATCGTTTGTGTTTATACAGATCGTTCAGTGCTGTTGTTATGCATTACCTGTTATCACAATGAGTGTAGGGGAGAGTGGGGTCAATTGTAACGTTTTTTACTTAACTATTTTTAACTAACAAAAAATCGAATATATTATTAGTATTAATTGACAGACGAGTAAAGTAGACTATCCTCAACTAGAAAAAAAATAAATACCTGATTTTAAATATTATTATATTAGTTATTAACAATTTTTGACAGTCGTGCACTTGTTACAATTGTCCCCACTTACGGGGTCAATTGTAACAGTTCATAAATTCAACTAAAACATAGTTAATTATACATATTATCATAGTTGTGATATATTTTTTTATTGATCAAAATAGTAGTGATATTTTAGGAGTAAAAATAATAATGAGCAGAGACCTAAAGGGTTAAACTTTTAACTTTAAGGGGTTAAAAATTTTAATTTATGCTGTGAAAGGTGACAAATAAAATAATGCACATGCAACATAATATAAATGATATAGGAAACTATTGGTGGTTCTTAAAGAGTTAAGTAATGGTTTGTAAACATAAGATTATTTATTTTCAGCTGTTACAATCGTCCCTTTACTTATTGTTACAATTGTCCCCAAGACGCCATTTCAGCTTCATTTGTTAAAAACAATGCTAGTTAATTAGCAAAACTAATCTTTTTTTTTATTGAAATGTTAATTAAAGTGTCCACTTACATATTCGGTTACTAATTTTTATTTGTTTAAACAAAATTACTTTGTTACAATATAATATTATAATACCAAAAAAAGTACTTGCGTGGCGTGAAAATATCTTTTGTGATGTAATTCTTTCAAAAGTACATAAAAATGGTTGCCATCAGGGGTGTACATGTAGATTTATTAAATACACCTTGTGCGCCACCTGGGAACCAAATCTAGAACCCGACACTCGAAATTTTTGCTCTGTTACAATCGTACCCCGTTACAATTGACCCCACTCTCCCCTACTCTTTTCTCCGAACGTTATATGTGTACAATCTTCCCTAGCGCTACCTTACTTACACAAGAGAAGGGCAGAAATAGTAAATCCTAATTGGGTAAAATCTGGCTTGCCCTGGTTTATGATCTGGGCTATTACACCTTTTAATATCGAACTTAAAAAAAAAATTAAATATTCAAGATTATTTTTAACATTTGCGCACAAATGAAATCTTAAAGTTGTTCCTATTTTCTAAAGCTAACCCGTCGCAAAAATATTTATTGCACTTAATATGCTGTCGAACAAAAGCCACCGTTGGAGAAATTTTACACCTTATATGCTGACGATCAAATGTCACTGTTGGAGAAATTTTACACCTAATAAGCTGACGATCAAAAGTCACCGTTGGAGAAATTTTACACCTAATATGCTGACGAACAAAAGTCACTGTTGGAGAAATTTTACACCTTATATGCTGACGATCAAAAGTCACTGTTGGAGAAATTTTACACCTAATATGCTGACGAACAAAAGTTACTGTTGGAGAAATTTTACACCTTATATGCTGACGATCAAAAGTCACTGTTGGAGAAATTTTACACCTAATATGCTGACGATCAAAAGTCACTGATGGAGAAATTTTACACCTAATATGCTGACGAACAAAAGTCACTGTTGGAGAAATTTTACACCTAATATGCTGACGAGCAGAAGTCAGTATTGGAGCAATAATTGACTAGGTTTTCCGACTTCTAAAGCATAGATAGCTGTTTTAACCTTTCAATTAAGTGACGTAATGTCAATAAAGATTTCCTAAGACAATAATTACTAAATCAAAAGCATATTCTTAATGTGTATTTCTTCAGCCTGGGTTGGGTCGATAAAATACCCACAAAAGCTCAATCACGTTTGTTTATTTACAAGTTCTTTTAAATTGAACACACTGCAAAAAATTCCGTATCTAATTACAGTATCGGCACTTGGGGTGAATTTTTCGTAAATATTATACCGTAGCTTGTACAGTAATATTTATTTAATTAGATTGGTTCAGTGATTTTAAGTTGATTATTACGGCAAAAAGTACTGTAATTTTTTACAGGACAGTAATGGCCATGTTACCCTTTTATCACTACGAATTAAACAACCAGTTTTCAGTTAAAAATAAATAAAAAAATAATCAAAATCCAAAAAGCGTACCTTAAAATAAGTAATTTAAAAAAAAAATATTTCAATTTTAATGTCAAATGTTATATTCTTCAATTAAATTTAAATAATGCAAAAATGTAAATATTTTATTATTTTTAAACATTTATTTTTACGACAGAAAACTATCACATCCGACTACTTAAGTATACTTTTTAAAAAACATAAACTTAAAATTACAAGTTTTTTAAAGAATTGTTTTAAGCAAACTATTATTTTTTAAATGAAATGTTCATTTAATTTCAAATATCTGAGTTAAAAATACAGGAAAAAATACTTATGCTGAAGTAAAGATAAACAGAATTTCATAATGGCCTTGAAATTTCCATCTTATTAGCATTAGCACTACCATCAAAATACTTACATTCTTAATTTCAAAATCGCATACCTAAAGTAATGTGACCGTTCTCTAAATTTAATGCGACAATATCATAGTCATTGGCATTAAAGTGTTTGATTCGAATTTTGCGTCATTTTTTCTACTATTTTTCATTTATATTGATAATTTGCAATCTTTTAAGAGCAACAGAATCAGTGTATAATGAACCATTAAATATTTATTGAGAATAGTGATTAAACTCAGAGTGAATAAGCAAGGTCAAAACTACCATACTATGGTAAAAATTACGTTTCTGGCTCTGCGGTAACACCAAAATCGCGATAATTTTTATCGAAGAACTTCGGTAACGATTTCGATAAAATTAACGATAAAATATTGTTTTTCAATATGCGTTAAAATTCGAGAATTTTATGGAGTTTCGTACTATGGAGCAATTTACTTTGCAGTTTTGTATTTTTTACTTAATGTGTGATGCCGTCATTCTGGGCTACTTTGTGCAGGATTTCGCAGTTTTTGAACTTTGACATGTAAAAAAACTATGTTAGTTCAAACTTTAGTAAAATTTATCGATATTATATTCATAACTGGACTCAGACGAGTGAATTTGATCAATATTGGCATTATTTGTATGTAATATTTACGAATAAGTCAAAACATACCTTGCACAAAGTAGCCCCCAAATGGGGCTACTTTGTGCAGCGATAGGAATTCAGTTTAATAATCATGTTTTTAGTAAAATATTGATATAAAATTGTTAAAAAAGTTATTGTTGACATTTTTAAAGACAAAAACATCAAGATATGTAAAGATGTTAGTTTGAAAATAATTTTCAGCGTTAAAAAACCATTTTTTTTGAAGAATTTTTTCTTAAAAAGAATGTTTATTTCAAAACATTTGAGTTTAAACAAAAGGAAACCATATACTTTTTTAAACATTGAAATGGATGATATTTCAAAAATAATAATTATTACATATTCATTAACATTTATAATATTGATAAATTTGAACATAACATGCTTGAATGAACACGACAGAACTTGCTCTTCAGTTTCTGTCAAAATCACCTGATGTCCTATAAAATATATTTTTATGTGTTAAATCGTTTGATTAATTCATTAAAAGAAAAATAACAGTTTACCAGCACGTTTCACGTGTTTCTTGTGAATTTTATTAGAGATAGTATTTCTGGGGATTTTGTATTTCCGAGAAGCTTCTGCAATCGACATACCACCAGCAACTGCTTGCAAACATGTTGCAGCTTTTCTAAAGTGAAATCAAGGTATTTTCTCGTTCGATGTATTTTTTTTATAACGTCTGACAATTTTTTTGTCGAAAAAAAAAAAACGAATGAAACTTTGTACAAAGTAGCACCACAGTGCATTTTTTTTTTCATTTTCCGTTTATTTGTTATTAATTTTAAATTTTTTTTTAACGCTAACATGATATAATTGTTTATTAATGTATAAATAAAAAATTTTGCACTTACGACAATTGTTTTATCAACGTCTTTGCATTTCACAGCTAAAGTTTCCACGCACACTTTTCGACATCCGACGTCCTCGGAAAATTGTTGACATTGGATGAACGAAACACACTCTGAGATTGTTTTAAAATTCGAAAAAATGTTTGTAGTAATAGAAGAGACTTCTATCTTCAAATTCCACACATTTTTAACGTGAAATGAACATAATACTGAATAGCAGCACTTGAAAAATGCCAAATTCGAATTTGCACAAAGTAGCCCCCGCTGCACAAAGACGGTAATAAAAAGTAAAATTTTGAAGACCAGAATGTCCGTTAAACCGTTGTAATTTGAACGAAAATACCGATTTTGTACAGAACGGTTTAAATACCGTATATTATAGTTCCTTTAACTAGAATTATGCTTCTTTTCATTAGCAGAAATGTCATTACCATGTGATTAGTTTGGTAATTTTACCCGACTTTTTTCCTCTGTGTATAGACATCCATATAAATAATTACAAAATAAATTGGGTTGTACTACTTTTCCCTTATTGAAACTGTTGAACTTGTGATGTTCTTGAAATAAATTAAAAGAAAAAATCAAATAATGTAGCCATCTTACTACTGCCTCCAGAGCCTCCAGAACCCCCATTCCATCCGTTTCCACCCCCTCCTCCACCTAAATAATAAGATATACATTAACTTTGAAAATTCTTACAGCACTTATTATTCCACATTTTTTTTCCAATTACAGTTACAGAATAACAAGAAGCATATTTATTACTAAGATTTTTTCTTCGTTAAAATAAAATATTCTTACTTACCATTTTCAATTGGTGATAAAGTAACATCTAAAAAATAAGTAAATAAAATAAAAATAAAAACGTTACATTAATGTAATACAAAGTAGGAAATTTTTTTTTCCATTCAAAGAATTTCTAAAATTAATGAAGTTAAGAAATTTTGTTGCTGTTGATGCAAACAGCATGACGCGCTTAAAAAGTTTCGAATTTCAACACAAAAAAAAGGTGGCCAAAACTATCAGAATGTGGTAAAAATTAACCGTGTTTCTGGTGTTATAAGAACTCTAAAAAGCTCGTTAGTTCTTACCAAAGCGCTTTGGTAATTATTTTCGTAAAATTAAATATGAAAACGTTTTAATAATACGTGATAAAGTTGCTTAATTATTTGTGATAAAATGGTGTATATGTGGTAAAAATTGGAAACTTAATCATGATACTTTAAAATATGGCACAAAAAACATTTATTAGGCTAAATTTGATTTTCAATTTTATTTCTTTTTATTAAATATTTGGTAATCAAAATTATAATTTTGAAAACCAAAATATCCGGTAAACCTATACTATATGAAACGAAAAAATCACCAAAGGTATGGTTTAATTACCATATATTTTTTTCTTTATTTTTAGAATTATGTTTTTTTTACTAGAAATGCCATTACCATATAGTGTGGTAATTTAACCAGATTTTTTTTCTCCGCGAAGTATTATTTCTTGTAATATAATTGATAAAGTAAATTATTATTAAAAGTATTTTTTCATTTTATAACTGGGTTTAAAAGTCAGAAATTTACGTGTAATGAAATAATTAAAACGGAAAAAATCCTGTTTATTCAAGTTTATAGTTTACTTTGTATAAGAGAAAATGATCTTTTTTTGTTAACGAATGAAGCAAAAGCTTTTTTTTTCGCACATCGGTTTTTTTCCTGCGCGTTTTGCTTTTGTCTTTTACTATGTCTTTATTATATTTATTATTTGTTTATGTATTTTATTGTAACTTAGATACATTTTTGTTTTGTGTACCTTTCAACTTCAATGCATAAGAAGTTTGTTTATGCTCCACATGGCGTCATGCCTGTCTTTGTGTTAAGTAAGAAATATATAGTGAAAGAATTGAAATCTGTGAGAAAGAATCTTTGTGTAAGAATATGGAATGTGTTATTTGAGAGAATTTACATTTGATGGGCTTAGCTTACTGGAAATAAAATGGAAAGAACAGTTGCTAACATAAACAAATGCCGCGTTTCAACAACCAATCAAAATCGAGATATACACACCACGTCACTTTCAAATATTCCATTTTTTTAACTTCTATTCTGTTAAGCCTATTTGGAATACGTCTTAATATTCTCTCTGTGCTAGGCGCATATTTGATTTAATTTTTACAGAATTAGTGTATGCACTAACCTACAATGATGGAAGAGACGCTTAAAGTTTTTAAGAAATACTTGTTTATTTTGCTGGTGGTTCTTTTCTTAAAAAAATTTAAGTAATGTAGCCCACTTACCGCTTCCTCCGCCGCCGCCGTTTCCAGAACCCCAGTTCCAACTCCATTTGTTTCCGCCCCATCCTCCACCTATTAAATTATTAACGCATTGAATTGGAAAAAAATATCTCTGATTATTCCATATTTTTTCACAATTTGCATTTTAAAGCAACAAGAAGTACATCTGCTGTTTTTTTACATTATTTTTATTAGCTTTTCTTATTAATACATTAGCTCAGCGCATTTTCTCTTAAATAACGTAAAATATAATCTAGTAAACGAAAAACTAAGTCAGTTAAAAGTTTAAAACACTCTGACATTTTTTATTATTTTTTTTAAAAAAAAATTGCACACATTTTAATTTAAAAGCTGTTAAAATTCTCTTAAAAAATTTAAAATATTTGAACCTAATTCATTAAAAGCTGGGATAATTTGTTTGTTAAAACAAAGGCTTTATTAGATTAATAATTAGAAAAAAATCATTTAAAAGAATTATGACTGAAATGTTCTTTAAGACAGACCCTTGCGTACCTAGATTTTTGATTGGTGACAAAGTTAAAACTTAAAATATTTAATAGTAAAAGAATACAAAATATTTAATTCTAAATTGACCAAACTGTCTTTGAAAGAAACGCGCTTAAAAGAAGCAGAATTTTCAAAAGAAAGAATAAATATAGCAATAAAGAAAACGAAGGAAATAAGAATAAAAATATGACCACCGAAGCCGACGTCTTCAGGGGATACCGGCCTCGGAAGCCATAAAACAAAACCTTTTCTATTGAGAGAGAGAGAGGCCAAATTAAATGCCAAAATTAACTCCTTCAGTACCCCGAAGGTTTTGTACAAGTCCAGGGAAAAATACATGAAATACATAAAACCAATTCAGAAGAGAAATTGAAACAAAAACTTGAGAAAATAAAAACTCATATTAAACCGGTCAAACAGCGATTTCACAAGCAAACTAAATGCAAAGGAAACACTTAAAACAAAAGAAAACAACGCCCTCTATTAAAATGCGCAGAATAAAAAAAAAAGAAGAGAAAAAGAAGATTACGTAACAAATTAATATAATGCGCCCAGTTAAAAGAAATAAAAATCTAGTATTCTTCAATCATTTTCTTAATCAAAAAATTTTTATTCATATTTTAATTTTTATCAGGTCATATTTTTATTTTAATTTCCTTTGTTTTCCTTATTGCTATATTAAAATAATTAAAAGCGTTACACTAGTGTAATACAGATAATTAATTTTTTTATTGATTCAAAATTTTTTTAAAAATACATCAAGCTAAAAAGGAGTACCACCATTTTTGGTGAACTAAACCTTTTTGCACTATATATGCTTACCTGTTGGTGCAGGTGTTTCGACGGGGGATAAAGTGACAGTTCCACCACCTGTAATTAGCGTAATAAACGTAAAGTATATATTTATTGAAAGTTTCATACTGTTACTCATGTTGTGATTAAATTAATTATGACTAAAAATAATACATTATTTTTATGAATACAAGATATACTATTTTGTGTTTTGCTTGTTCCCTTAATTTAAGTACAGGGTTATTCATAATTCCCTCCGCCTGTAAACGCAATTTTTCTTTACTACAACTGACTTCAGTGGTAGGGTAAACTAACCAGTGAAGGAACACTTAAGCTTCGCCTGCCTTTTAAAAAATCGTATTAATTTCAAAATTCGTAATTTTAGTTAAATGGCAATGTCAACATATTTGCTACTAATTGCAAATTATGTAAAAAAATTGCAGAGAACTTACATAATATTGCTTTAAAGTTTTGGAGGTTCAAATAACAAGTAGTAAGAAGACCCAGTGAAGGAACAGCTTTTATCAGTGAATAAACACCCAGTAAAGGAACACCTAATTTTGGTTATTTTTAATGCTCTTTATGAATTTATAAGCCATACAAATATTTAAAAACAAGCCTATTCTTGAAATTATAACATATAAATACTTGAAAAATGTTAACTTTCTTTTTTGTAATCATGAATTGAAAATTAAAGTGTCAACATATTAATACATACTGTTCATTCACTGGGAAATATATGCCCAGTAAAGGAACATGCCTGTTCCCTTACTGGTTAAAAGTTGTTTTTCGTATTTTTAACATACTTTTGATGCGGAACATTACTAAAGGTACAAGAAAATTAAAGTTTATCTTTTATTTTCATTAACTTAGAAAAAAACCCAGTAAAGGAACACTTGTTCCTTCACTGGTTTTTCATCGTTTGGTGATCCAGTGAATAAACACCCCCTTATCTCAGTACTTTGTTATGCTATGGTGCTTGAAAAAAAATAAAACGTAACTTCAATAACTATATTTTGAATTCTCTTTTTCACAGTAAGAAAAATAAAACTATTACATGCAATTAATTCCACTTCAAACATATGCATGCAAACACTCACCTTATAATTTTTTCAAAGAAACAAGGTGTTGCAGAGATACTAAAAAATTCAAAAATTTTTCCAGAGAAGTCTATTTGACCAGGTAATCCAAAACATTGCTAGATGACTTCCTATTGTTTGGCAGTAAGCTATTGTTACCAATCAATCTAAAGAAAAACTTTCAAATTCTTATTTTTAATCAATATATAAGAAATGTTCCTTCACTGGGTAGTGTTCCTTCACTGGTTGGTTTACCCTACATGTTACTGCAATCTACCGGCAACTGGAAGTACTATCTACCGGAAAGTATTGTCATATCGGTGCATTATATTTGTTGATATTTGCTATCAAGATTTTCAATGCAGGATCGAAAACTAATTGAAATGGATCGAAAAATATGAATGGCTTTTTAAGACTAACCCATATTTAATGCGCCGAAATGACATTACTTTCCGTTCCCTCTAATATTTTTCAGTTTCTAAAAAAGGTAAAGAAAACAGAAATAAAATATTTTAATATAAGCTGACTTACCATCACCACCTTTAGAACCCCATCTCCAATTCCATCGATTTCCACCACCGCCTGAGGCGAATGAAAATTAATTAATTAAACATTATTATTTTTACGCATATTTGCTTGTAAAAATGTACATTATATTCCTCGAGTTAAAACAATAAATATATTAAAAAGTGCATTTTATAAAATCCTAAAAAAATTAAATAAATTGAATTAAAATGTTATACATGTTTAATATAAATCAGTAAGCTAAATAAAATTATTTAGCATGTTTATGTTGCATATGCAAATGAAACGTGCATTTTTATAAATTTTCCCCATAAAGATTACCAAGCATAATTTTGAACATATATTGCTTGTTAAAATTTAAATGATTATCCTCATTTTGACTGATACAAAAACTAATTAATAAATTTAGAATAAAAGTATTTTTTAGATTAAAAATATAATAAAAATTTAAAGTAAACGAATAAACGCAATACAAAACATGAAGTTTAATTTTTTTCGTACAAAAACAATTAATAATGAAACGTAATTTTTTTACAGTTTTTTATGGGGTTAGTGTAGAAGAGTATTAAAAATAAATTTATAATCTATTGTTAAATTGTGTTAAAAAGCAAATGCAATCAAAATGGAACTATTTTTTTGTATCTACAAAGCACAATCATGAGTAAATATTTGTATAATGCTTATTGTAATTATTATTAGGCATTAAAAATATTTATTTATAATCAAGATATTAATTTTCTTACTTCAGAGACAAACAATCACATTATCAATCCATTTTAAATATTCATTCAGCAGAAAAAATATTTATTTAGCGGAATTTAGTGGAGATACTGCTCACATAGAAAAACTAGGTTTTAAACAATTCAATAATTAAGAAATTACGCTTAAAGTAATACAGGGTCTTTATAATTAAAGTTCCACTTTGAAATGGCTATAAAAATAAAACTACCCGACCAAATGTCATCAAACTTGGTAAATGTCTATTAGAGGTTATGGGATTTTAGTTCCCGCAAAAAAAAACAAAAAAAAAAGTTCAAAAATTCACCGCTAGCGGTGAATGGCGCTGTATGCAATAAGGTTTAACGAAATAACAGGTGCAACAGATAACAAACCTGTGACTTGAAATTTTGCCATAATTTTCCGTAAACCTTGCTGTGTCATTGGACCTTGGCGTTTTCCTCTTACAGTACGGAACTTTTGTAAAGCCCTCCGTTCATTGCTGTCGCATTCATAGTAACATTTCACGAGTAAAGCACGGTCTTGCATGGTAACCGACATTGTCGACTCAGAACACTGACAGCTCAGACAAGACGCCTCACTTTTATAACTGCAAAGTCACATGACGTGTAAAACAAATTTGCATATTTCACATTTGTTTAACACTATTGCATACAGCGCCATTCTCCGCTAGTGGTGAATTTTTGAACAATTTTTTTTTTTTTTTGCGGGAACTAAAATCCCATGACCTCTTATAGACATTTACCAAGTTTGATGACATTTGGTCGGGTAGTTATATTTTTATAGCCATTTCAAAGTGGAACTTTAATTATAAAGACCCTGTATATTGGATAGTTTTAAGAGATTGAATAAATCCTCTTCAACTTCTAAAACGTTTATTCCGTCATTTTTAAAAATTAACATAAATTACATATGAATAATAGAAGGACAAAATTTACTTAATCCATAACAACTTTTAAATTTTAAGTGTTTTTAAATTCTTAAATGATCTAATTGCTAAATGATGGTTATTTAATCGTTTAACTTTTAATTATTAAATGATTTAAAAATCATATCAAAATACAATTAAAATAATAAAATTTAATTAAAATAACAACAAACTATCTTACTGGATGAAGAACTGGAAGCAGCTGCTGAACCTCCTGAAAATCGTAAAATACGATTCTTTTACAAATAACAAGTAAAATACAACAGAAACAAAATATGAAAATACACTCTGACAAATATATAATCCTTAAAATACTCTACCGATGATGGAAGATGAAGTAATTTGTGTTTAAAAAAATATTTTAACATTAAAAGCAAATCCATTCAAGAAAATTTTTTTTGCTAACTATTATTAATTAACGCTTTAATTTTTAAATTAAACATTATAATCTCATAAGCTTTATCTAAATTGATACTAAACTCTATGGCGTGACAGCCTATGAAGGGCCAAGACCCACGGTGTCCATTCCAGCTTTCCTGATCTTGGGCTTTGACGTGTAGGAGCAGATAGTCAGATTGCAGTTTGATTGCCGCAGGAAAAAAGAAGGAATATTTAAAAACTATTTTCAATAAATTCTAATTTTCTCTCGCTAAACAAACAGGCTTTGATGTTTTTAATCTCTTCTGAGTCGCGGGGGCTTACGGGATGGAGCGTTCATCTTCCAATGAGGTGAACTGGGTTCGAATCCCAGTGATGGCATGTAGATTCAGATTCCGCACTCTGTTCGCACCCACCACAGTGCTGACGTAAATTATTCCCAGTGGAAGATACGTGATGGGTTAGAATTCCTTTTCCATCAGACTAACCGTGAAGGATTTTCGTAGCTTTCCTCTTCATGTAAGGCAAATACGGGTAAATTTCATCAAAAAGTCCTTCACGAAGTCAAAATTTCTCTCACTACTTGATCTAGGAGTTCCCTTGTCTTCTGGATTTAGTTCAAAATTACAAGGATACGGAGTTGAGCATTGGCAGTCGTAAACCCAAAATTGGATCGGCTGTTCAACGACGGTTATAAAAAAAGTTAGAAATCTTTTCTACCTCCTAATTAGTTCTTCGTGTTTTAATAAAATTTTGCCTTTTTTTATTACCTAAGAACAATTTGCGGCGTCAAATGTGTTTATATTTATATATGTTTTCGACTTCACATTTTACAAAATTTCTAAAAATATATATAATGGGAGGCTTTTACGGAGCACCTGAATAATGTGAAAAAAATTCATTACTATACATTATGGTGACAGAAGTATGAATCTTAGTGACCTTCACTGAAACTTTCAACTTTTTCTCCTTTTGGTATTAAATTACTTCGTTTATTAATTTGTTTTGCATCCCTAGAGATTAATGGTTGTCATTTTGAAAAAACTAAATTACAATACAAAATTTTTTTTTTGCGTTTTTTGCGGAAAAATAAGAAAGATTAATTGTATTACTCAAACTCAAATTGTTTTACGTTTTCTCTTCTCTTTTGAGCATTTTTGATATTATTGTTTCGTGTGAAACGTTCTGAGCGAACAATTTGTCATCTTTGAGGAAATTATTATTGTCCCATATTGTGTTATATACGAATTGTGTCAAAAGAATTAGGTTTATTGAATTAGATTAATCAGAAAATCAGATCTTGACAAGCGAGAGCAGTAACACGCCTTCATATAGTAAAAACGGTATTAAAATCAGAAACAAATGTTGGAACACTCGAAGAATGTATCAAGATGACACAAGAATTAGTTAACAATTAGTTAACAATTTGGGGTTTCGTTAAAAATCACGTGATTATCATAAATAAAAGAATACTACACTAATTTTCTGAATTGTTGAAAACGAGAGATTAACATTCAATAGTTCAATAGATCAATAGTTCAATAATGTAATCAATAATTCAATAATGTAATCAATCGAGAATTCTAAAGTGTAATCAATAGCTATAAAGAATTTATTTCCATTTATTTATATATATATTTTAAAAATTAAAATAAGGGAAAAATGAGCGAAACAAACAATTCCACTTAATGCTTACCTCCGGTACTTGAACTTGATGCCGCGGCAGCTCCACCTAAAATATACAATGTTTTATTATGAAAACTTGATACTTCCATAAATGAAGGGAGGTTAAAGTAACTATTCTAGTCTTCGTCATTTTATAGGGCTATGGCCGAAAAGAATTATCAACACAAGGCCACGATGTTATTCTTTATTCTGGAGTGGACTGAGTACACTTTTCTATCTTTAAAACTCTTTTTAGGGTCTTTTCGCTTGACTTTGTTTTTTCAATTGTGCTAGATTTCATGATTAAGGGATATATTTCTTGATTATATTTTGTGGCTCAAAGTTTTGTTATTGAAAAAGAATAATGACACTGTATAAAGTTGAACCTTTCTGTCCTTTAACACCATGTTAATTTTTATAAACAAAACTACTCGTGTCATAGGTCAAGTCCAAAAATGCTCCATTACGAACCGTTTGAGTTGGAGTAAAGTCGTTAGGTTTCTATTGAACCTTAGGATATATCGCTTCCTACTGCAACTAGAGCCACAAAATTTCGGGAAGGTAGATGAGGCTTTTTTCCACCGAAAATGTCACCAAAATAGATGATAAAATTGGTCACCAGGTTAGCGATGGTCCCATTGTTAATAAGAGTGCCTTTTATTTTGCTTGTGAGTTGTTATTGTGTGTTGTTAAGATACGTAAAGTCACCAAGCTATAACATCGATGTTTGGAAGAATGGTGATTGGTAAAAATAAATGAATAATTAAATAAATAAATAATTAAATAAATAAATAAATGAATAAATAAATAAATAATAACGGCAGATTCGTTACTTTAAGCCAAAAATATACAATAGAGGTATATTTTTGCCTAATGGACATTCTTCATACTGTTCAATGTATTCGTTATACATATTTCTGATAGTGCTGTTTGAAGAGCTATTTTTGGAATACTCTCGATGCTGAATCATATTTTAATTCATTTTGCACAAAATAAAGATCTCCAAACATATTTCCTTTAAGATTAATGTATGCTTTTTTTAAATCGAAGCAACATTTCAAATTTATACCAGAAATTAAAATTCGGATATAGTTATCACTGTTTAAATAATTTTCCTAATTAAAATAATGTATTCAAGATGATCTAAATCTCAGAGAAGTCACTTGATTCCTAAATACATTTGCACTTAATTTAGGTTTAACGTGAATTATTAAAATTTATAATAAATACAAATTAAATATTTAAAAATCTAACCTTAAGTTAGCGAATATAAAATTAAAAATTAAGAGCAAACAAAAAGTTGATTTGAATTTGTTTAAAAAATATTTTAAACTTGAATTATAAAGCATTACAAATGAAAAATATACCTCCACTTGACGATGAGCTTGAAGAAGCTGCAGCTGCACCTAAATTTAAAACTCAATTTAAATTTTTCATGTAAATAAAAATAAATATATGTAATTAATCAGTGAATAAGATGCTTATTATTTCTTAATAATTCTGTTTTATTCAGTACAAGAGTTTAAAAAATTAGAGCTATAGTTCTGATAAAAAAAAAATTAATTAAAAATTTATTGAAGTAATCGGAAGAAAAATAGTAAATAAGCCATATGAGTTTAATTCTAAAATTATAACTTAGATCTGTTCTTGTTCTTACTTGAGTATTAAAGTATATTTTGATTCAAATTCAAAATTTTTTTTAATATGAATAGGCATTTCATACTACGACTGAAGAAGTATCTGTTTGTCGGTTTTAATGTGTAAATAGGCTTTCCTATATGATTTTAGAATTTATGAGTGCTTAGTTAGGCTAATGAGTTTTAATTATGCGCAGTGCAGCAAAAAAAAAGTAAATAAAAAAAAAACTCACCACCCAAAGTTACCTTTGATCTAATGATCAGATCTTCACACGCAATTATAAATTCGTTTTCTCAAAGATGCCAATAACGTTTGGAAAATATTTACTAATTTTTTTTTAGTTTCATTTTAAAAGAATGGGTCGAATGATTCCTAAGAAATAAAATTTTATAAGAATGTCATATTTTCAAAATTTTATTTCTTAGAGACTGTTCTACCTATTTATTTCAAATTTTGTATTTTGCCATGGAAAATTACACACTTTAAAATAATGTAAAAATATATACACCTTACAATTCAAACTTTTTTCGACTATTATTAAATAAAATAATAAAAACATAATAATTTTTTTTTTGCATAGAAATACTTTTTGAAGAACAAATTTTATAAGTGTGCAATTTTTTTAAAAATTTGCTGCCAAAGCTCTCGAGATATGGCGAGATAAGCAAGAAGTAAATTTAACATTAAGGCGACCAAACTTTGGACAGCTCTCCTGATCAAACTATGGGGACCATATTTCCCAGATTGCTGCCACTCCCCATACTTAGGGGGTTGGAAATCCGAATTCATTGAAAAATAAGGTATGTTTCTCCAGAAAAAAATACGTTTTTGTGTCTGATTTCGTAACTTAAAATATTATCTGCACTAATTAATTAGCCTATTTGAGGTCACCTTTTCGAATCAAAAAGATTGAGACATAGAACGTAAGGATCCGATTATTAGATCAAAAGTTATTCTGGTAGGTCCGCTTTTTATTCTGAGCACTGTACATAGAGTTCCAAACCTGCCGAAAATCCGTTTGATTTTTTAACTTAAAATATCGTATACACTAATTGACAAACTTAAGTTTAGGTCCTCGAACCATTAAGATTGACTCTCAGATTGTGAAAGCCAAATCATTAGATTACAAATCTTTCTGAGTGTTCACTTTTTTTGCGTACTTTTCATTATCGTAGAAAAGCTGAAGTATGCGAATTTATCGTATTTATGTCAGTTTTGGTGTTTTCCTCTTCATATCAAATATTATTTACTTACCACCACCACCATTGGAGCCCCAGCCATTATTGTAGCCTCCTCCGTTGCCATTACCTTTGAAATGAATTTAAAAAAAAAACAAATAAGCAATAAGATGCAACAGCCTAGACAGTATCTAATTTAATTTTTGAATTTTATAGATATTATAGGATACATTACAAGACACATCATTATTAGATATATACAGATCATTAATAATCATAGAAAACTGAATGAAACCATATTAAAGCACAAAAATGCATGCAAGGTGACCCACATCAATCGTCTTCATAGCTAAATTTAGGTGTCCTTGTCATTTAGGAATTTTAAGAAGCATAGAGATTGCAAATTGATATTTAGGCGAATTAGTAACAAAAAAGTTACCGAGATGAACAAAAAGTCACTATTGAATTTTTCGAAATGGAAAGCACCAATTGTTAAACAGAGGAAAAAGTACTGAAATCAGGCAAGAATTTTGAAAAAACTTCGATGAAGTGATCTCATGTCAACTAGATGTTTTTTGCAGGGCTTCTCAACGTTTTCGCCATTTCTTTTCTAGATCCAGCAAATACGCCAGTTGATGTTGCTTGGTAAAAGCTGTAGTGGTATCATTTTTTTCTCTAAATTTTTTCGAATTAAAATATTGGATTTCTATTATTTTTTATCAGGTGCCTTATCTGGAAGATCCTGAAATTTCAAAAGTGGTCGTGAAACCACCAACCATTTTTGCAAGACAAACTTTTATTGTGGTTCGCATTATCATAGTCTCAATTTTTTACCTCAGTCATCAAGTAAACGATTCATTGTGTAATTGGCCACGATGTAGTTGGTGCCTTATATGGAGACGTTTTGGAACAAGTTTCGGGTGTGTTAAAACAACCATTGGCAGAGGCAAGTTTTGAAGTCTTACAAACTCGACTTATATCCTGGTACTCAGCTGCAGTCTGGAAAAAGTTAAGAATTTCCGGATTAGAATAAAGTGGTCGAAAACTGACTGCGTTGCAATGGAGGATGCGAGATTTAAGTTAGGATTCAGTTACAAACTGATGCTCTCAAGTCACTTTGGTGTTGCAACACCTGCCACAAACAATGTAAACTATCCTTAAGTAAAAACGGTTGACTTAGATATAATAGCAGAAATGGCTGATAAAATAACTGAGGTTTCTTTTATCAAAGAAAGCGCAAATCTCAGCAGGAATATTAAAAAATGCATTGAAGCCTGTACATTGGAAATAAATATGTCATCGATGAAGGTAGATAAATTGGGTAAAAGAAATGAAAATTTAGAATTGCGTTTTGAAAAATTTTAGGGGCATGAGAAGATTAGGCCTCCCAAGTTTTCTCCCAATAAACGACCTCACCTCATAAGCCCACAACGAGCGGTTTCATATGAGTTAACTAATTAATTACTAATAATGTTAACTAATTAGTTGCACTAATTAGTTGCACTAATTAGTTAACATATTTGAAGTCACCTCTTCGAATCATAAAGATTGAGACATAGAACGTAAAGATCCGATCATTAGATCAAAAGTTATTCTGGGTGGTTCGCTTTTTATTTTGATGACTGTATATAGAGTTCCAAACCTGCCGAAAATTCGTTTGATTTTTTAACTTAAAATATCGTGTACACTAATTAACATACTTAAGTTTAGGCCCTCGAACCATTAAAATTGACTCTCAGAACGTGGAAACCGAATTATTTGATTACAAATCGTTCTGAGTGTTCACTTTTTTCGCGTAGGTACTTTTCATTATCGTAGAAAAGCTGAAGTATGCGGATTTATCGTATTTATGTCAGTTTTGGTGTTTTCCTCTTCATATCAAGTTTTATTTACTTACCACCACCATTGGAGCCCCAGCCACCATTACCAGCATTATTGTTGCCTCCTCCTCCGTTGCCATTACCTTTAAAAGGAATTATTTTAAAAAACAAATAAGCAATAAGATGCAACAGCCGGGACAATATCTAATTTAATTTTTGAATTCTATAGATATTATAAGATACATTACACGACACATTATTATTAGATGTATACAGATTATTAATAGTCATAGAAAAAATGAATGAAACAATATTAAAATACAAAAATGTATGCAAGGTGACCCACAGCAATCGTCTTCACAGCACAGTTTTGGTGTCCTTGTCATTGAGGAATTTTAAAAAGTATAAAGGAAGTTTAAAAGTAATTTCAAAAAGTATAGAGATTTCAAATTGATATTTAAGTGAGTTAGTAACAAAAAAGTTACCGAAATCAACAAAATCACTATTGAATTATTCGAAATGGGCAACACCTGTTCGTTAAACGGAGAAAAAAATACAGAAATTAGACATGAATTATTTAAAAAACTTCGCCGGAGTGATTTCATGTCAACTAGATGCTTTCTGCAGGGCTTCTCAACCCAGCGAATACTCCAGTTGCTGTTGCTTGGTTAAATCTGTAGCGGTATCATTTTCTACTCCAAAATTTTACGAATTAAGATGTTGTATTTCTATTATCTTTATCAGGTATGCCTTATCTGGAAGAATCTGAAATTTCAAAAGTGGTAGTGAAACCACCACCCATTTTTGCAAGACTTATTGCAAGACTTTATTATTGTTCGCATCATCACAGTCTCATTTTTTTTTATCTCAGGGATGAAATAAACGATTTATTGTGTAGTTAGCCATAATGTAGTTAGTGCCTTATATGGGGATGCTTTGGAGCAAGTTTCGGATGTGTAAAAACAACCATTGGCGGAGGCAAGTTTTGAAGTTTTAAAAACTCGACTTAGCCTTAAAAAGTCTTAAAACTGGTGCTCTGCTACAGTCTCAAAAAGTTAAAAAAACTGCTTTCCGGATTAGAATAAATGGATTGAAAACTGTCTGCATTGCAATGGCAGATGTGAAATTTAAGCTAGGATTCAGATAAAAACTGGTGATCTCAAGTCACTTTGGTGATGCAACACCTGTCAGAAACAATGCAAACTATCCTTAAGTAAAAACGGTTGACTTAGATAAAATAGCAGAAATGACTGATAAAATAACTGAGGTTTCTTTTACCAAAGAAAGTGCAAACCTCAGCAGGAATATTAAAAAATGTATTGAAGCCTGTACATTGCAAATAAATATGTCATCGATGAAGGTAGATAAATTGGGTAAAAGAAATAAAAATTTAGAATTGCGTTTTAATAAAATTGGAGGGGCATGAGAAGCTTAGACGCCTCAAGTTTTCCCCCAATAAACAACCCCATCTCATGAGACCACAACAAGCGGTTTCAGAGGAGAAGCAAGGCGTTGTTGTTATAATCTCAAGTTTCAAAATAAAGCCAATCTGTGTACTGATGTTTGCGGATACAAACTTCTTTTAAACGATTAACCTCTGTTTCAACGACGATTAATAACAGAGTTTTAACGAAATACCGTCTCTTCGTACGAGATTTAACGTCAGGATCAAAGTTTGTCGTAGATACTGGATCTGAAATCTTGATTTTAACTTACAATTTAGCAGAAAACCTAACACTGATAATGATTTCCAGTTCTATTAGTGAGGATATTTTACGTTAGCAATGTGGTTGGTGCGAGCCGAAAGCAAAATTTGTATAAACCAGTCACCACTGGGATTCGAAATTAGGTCACCTATTAGAAAGCGAAAGCTCTATCTTTTGAGTCACAGCAACTACAGCTATAGGTTCGAGCATAGTCATCTCGACATAACTGAAACTTTACCACCTACTAAAGTTATTACACTGACTATGATCAAACGATTTTCACGCTGGCCAGAAGCTATATCTTTACAAGACTTCACGTCAAGATCAAATTTTGTCGTAGATACTGGATCTGAAATCTCGATTTTACCTTACAATTTAGCAGATAACCTAACACTGATAATGATTTCCAGTTCCACCAGTGAGGATATTTTACGTCAGCACTGTGGTTGGTCCGAGCCGAAGCAGAATTTGTATAAACCAGTCACCACTGCGATTCGAAATTAGGTCACCTATTAGAAAGCGAAAGCTCTATCTTCTGAGTCACAGCAACTAAAGTTATAGTCACCTCGAGCATAGTCATCTCAACATAATTGGGCCTCTACCACCTACTAAAGTTAATACTTATTATCTGACTATCATCAAACGATTTTCATGCTGGCCAGAAGCTATACCTATACCTGGCAAAATTGCTGTTACAGTAGCAGGAGTATTTTAGTCTTCATAGATATGTAGGTTTACTACTCTTTCACGAGTGATCACAGGTCTCACAGTCAGTCATCACAGGTCTAGCTAGTCAGTCGGTGTCAGCACTTTTTTGCTCCTGGGAAAAGTTTAGAGAGACATATTGTCTACACGCAACTAGCTACTTTCCTAAATCAAATGGCGCGAACAAAGATTTATATGGGCTCCTTAAAGCTACAACCATGTATCATAAATCGTCAGCGTGGTTTCAATTTTTTCGACTTTCATGTATTTATTTTTTCGCAATTCTTAGGCATCATCATTCGATCTCATTCATGGAATGGGTCATCGTCTTTTTGGTGAGTTTTTTCAACCATCAAAAGACAACCTCGCACCACATTCCTTTGTTACTTTATTAAGTGAAAATTTCAGGATCTGGAAACCAATACCTACTACTTCTTACAATTCTAAGCGTAATATTTTTTGTTTTTAAGGATCTCAACAAATGCTCGCATGTTTTCCTCCGAAGGAAAATTTGAAAATCCTTAGTACAGCCATACGATGGTATATATTGGGCATTGGAGCGACAATCTAAAGTTTTCAAGATCAACATTAACGGCATTGGTAAGTATGTTTCTATTGTGTAATTATTCAATTATTTGCAAATCAAATCGCTCACGCTTTTCCTTTAAAAAAACTGAAATGGACAAAACTCCAAATAACTGAATTTGACAGAACTGAATTTAAATTGAATCCATTTCCATACTTATAGAAAAGATGAGGGTAAGAACAGGAAGATAGGAAAAACTTAATCTATCAATCCTGAGTAACTGTTAAAAAAATCACAAACAATTCATATTATTTGCTAAAAGTGTTTCAGTTTTAATTTTTTAATCACCATAATATTCTTGTTTATCCAAGAATTATCTTTAATGAGTTTTTAGTTGCGTTGGCAGCATTTTTTATGTAAGTTATGTTTAATATTTAGTTTCTTTTAACATTAATCAGCGCCCAATATAGGGAAGAGGGTCTCAATTAAGTGCATTTCATTTTTGAAACGTGTATTTTTTTATCACGCTTTTTCAGATTATTTATTTATAGCAACTGTGAAATGTGACATATATAAATATTGCTCTTCGACAAACTTAGAACTAATTCATATCATATCACAAAACATTACAAAGGCACTTTTTACTTCTAGATTTCATAATAGCTAATAATAGTTATAATAATAAATAAAATGAGTAACCTGAGTTCCAGCCACCCCATCGGAAACCATTTACTCCACCATTATTGGAAGATCCTCTATTTCCTATTTAATTAAACAAAATTAGACAGAAATGTTAATTAGCAAACGGAAATATATTTTTATAGCATAAAAAAACAGTTGTTTTTGTTGTTGTTTAGAGTGGTATGTTGTTTGTTGTACAGTTGTTTGTGTGTTTAGAGTGGTAGTGAATCTCCAAGAGGCATGTATTCTGGCAAATACTAAAAATGAGGCTTAAATCGGACCTTTGAATCAGAACCAATTTAATATAAAAAGAATTTACTTTTTTCTTATCACATTATAGCACAATATTTTTTTCAAAAGTAAATGTTAACCACTTTTAAAGGCATCAATGTTGCAACCTGTTGTTCGGAAATCTGATCATCAGTCAACTTTTTTTATAGATATCTCTTTATACTTCAAATGTGCTGCGTACATAATAGCTGTATATTATACATTCTGCAGTACATTAACCCTTTGACGTAGATGGGATACCGTTATTCCTTTTATATATTTCTTTTTTGACGCTCTAATTCCAAACAAAAATGTATTTTGGTAATTTTTAACTAGAAAAAAAAACAGTCCTATAGTTTCTAAAATCTATTAGATTATCAGCAATTGTATTTATACTAAATATAAAATCCAAAAGAAGTATAATGAATTATTTTTCCCATTCATATTTAAAAATTTGTCAATAAATGATTTTGTAAATTTCAACTATACAAAACTGTTGAAAAATTAAAAAAATTACTGTTTAGAAGAGATCCATCCGTGTTTGGAGGATTTTACTTTTAACGCCAAAAAAGACACCAAAAATAAAAGCATATCCTAACCATCAATTATTAAAATGCTGAATATAACATTTTTTCATTTATTTCGATCTAAATTAATATAAAATAATGAAAAAAAGTATGAAAAATATGTTTCGTAAAAATTCTGTGTCGAAGGGTTAGCGAATTGCGATAATTTTAGTGACCTCGTTGTGAATATACTTTCTATTTTACATTGATTGACGCTAATAACTTGACTCTGCTTATGTGTGAAAAAAATTCACGACATTTACTTTGCACAAATGAGAAGAACCTAACACAGTAAAAATGATCAAGGTCTCTCAAATGAAGTGGCTAAAATATGTATTTTGAAATAGCAATGAAAATCCTCTTAAAAAATAACCATCCAAACACCAGAGGGAAAAAGAAAAAGATGAAGACCTAGAAAAGGATGGTTAGATGGAGTAGAGAAGTGGTTAAAGGACTTAGAGTAAATAGATAGAGAAATATAGCATCGAATAGATCTAGATGGGGTAAACTGACTGAGACACTGCCTTGGCCGGTAACCGGCTGTAGGGCCTAAGAAGAAGAAGAAAGGAAAAGACTGCATGACTACATTGTATGACTCTTTAAGATAAAAATGTTTTAAAATTAAAGTATATAAGGAAAATAAAATAAACAATGTCTATACATAATGAAAGAAAGTAATTAATTCTGACATTTGTGGATGTTTTTAATGGATTAGCATTAATTTTTGTACCAAGCATTTGGGTTTTGATTTCATATCGTGATTTATTTGTTTATTCTTTTTCGTAAGGTTACAAGTTCAAAGTAAAATCATATTTCTTTCTTTTAATTTCACTGATAGATAATTATTTTGACATTTAAAGTTTCACTTAAATTTAAATCAAAAATAGCTTACCGAAAATGTTAAAGACTCCACTACCTGAAATTGTTGACAAAAAAATGTATTATTTGTTTATTTAAACTCTTCACTGAAATAAGATTGCTCATCATATCACGTTTGAAACACTTTTCATAATTGAAAGAAAAAAAAATTTTTTTTTCATGATTTCAACGTTGAAAAGAAGGGAGAACTGTTTATATTTAAAAAAAAAAAAAAAACATTCTAGCAAAAATATTGAAATAGGAATTTTTTTTTTAAAGAATATAAACTATAATATTTAAATTAAAATTATTACTTATATTCTTATATATTATTATATTATTATTTAAATATATTATTATATTTAAATTATATATTCCCACAAATCTAGCTGAAAATATCACTCCTATTAAAAAGGAAGGCTTCACCCTAAAAAAAGAGTGAAAATGTATTTTTAGCACATTGACTGAAAACGAAAATTTTAGAGCGAAGTTATAATCACAGCATCATTTAATGCCAAATATTCTTAACAATCGGTAAATTATTTGCGTCAGAAACATAAATATTACAAGTCAAAATCATCCGTAGGAGATGATTCAATGCAATAGGAAAAACATTGTCTCCAAACGTTTAGAAAAATGTCTCAAGTATGTAGGGTGGTAGAAGCTGTGAAAGGGGTTTTCTTTAATTAAGGGAAGATATAAAATAAAACTGCGTCGTATGAGCAAAATGTTTTAATGAAATACATTTATTAAATATATCTCTTTGCTTGAATAAGATTTTATTTTCGTCTATTCTTTGAAAATATTGATAAAAAACAATGAGCGTATTGAAGTTAATGAACGATTAAATTTTTTAAGTATATTTTTTACCGTAATTGGCATGTTATGTTGAAAGTAGTTTTCTTGTTTATTGTCCAGTTATTTTATAGTTATAAAGTAGTTTTCTAGCTTATTGTCCAGTTATTTTATAGTTATAAAGTAGTTTTCTAGTTTAATATATCAGTTTAATTTTACTGAGAATAAATCGCACACTAAATGAATAAATAATAACTCCGTCTTTTAATAGAGTTTAATTTTAGGAAAAAATTAGTTTTATATACATTTATACTAAATTTTCAGCACAAGTAGTCTCTTTTAATGCTATATGATGAAATGAAATGAAAACTAAAAAATATTCATGAATTTACCTCTTGATAAAAACAGTTTTTGAGGAAGTTTAATTCAAATTTAAAAAACAAAAAATTAGAATTGAGATTAAAGGTAATTGACAAACCATTTTAAAGGCAACAAAAGTAAAAAATTTGTATAAAAAACATATAATCTTTCCGTACCTGTTCCAGCTGATGAAGTTGCTACGGATGCTGAAAATAATATTCGAAATAATGAATCCCATTTAAAATTGATAATTCGATGGTGTGTAATATAAATTCGATTATTGGATAAATTAGGCGATATATTATTATAAACATAGAATATTTATTATATCATGTATTATATTATTATATTATAATAATTAGATCAAATTATTAGACGCACTGTAGTTTTTTAATAATGACATGTTTTTTTAATAATGACACGAGTTTATATACAATACGTTTAGATTTAAACATACATGTAATGGGTTTTTATTCATGAGATTATTTATATACTGTCTATCTGTATTGATTTTTAACGTATTGCAATGCAATGTAAACCAATTGATATACAAACGTGTTATATACAATGAAATGACAAATGAGAAAATGAACAGTGTTATATAAAAATGGAATGTTAAAAGTATGGGGACATTTCTGACATTTTAATTTTTGTATATTTTCTCATTTTAATGACTTTTACTGGTATGTAGATGATATTAAAACAATTGTTACTTCCTGGCAACGTTATTTTAACTTAATTATCAGTATTTTGCTTAAATATATTTCCCTTTTTCTGTTTACGGTTTCATATCATGATCCCAATTTTATGGTTTTGGATGCTAAAAAGTTCTCCATAATACATTTGTAAACATTTTAAAAACTGTTAATTTTTCGAGAATACCGTATGAGAAAGAAGGCTAGTCCGGTTAGCATTGTTAAAATTGAAATTTAATCATCTGCTTTACGTCATAGAAACCATTCCGATTTTCAACTACACTTTCTCAAAGGTACTATAAGCCTAAATATTTTTGTTAAGAACTTCATTAGAATCTATAAACTTTAAAAAACGAGAAATTCGCATTTATTTTTGCTGTAAACAAACAACGTTATTTTTAAGTACTCTTTGCATTTACTGTTTGGATATACTATGCTAAAAACTCGTATGTTTAAAATTTCATATCTCGGGAACTTTTCGACTGATTTCGCTGAAATGTTGTATTTTGCAATGAAAAATTAAATTTTTTTAAAAATAATATAAAAAATTATATGATTTACAATTCTACATTTTTACGACTATTATTAAATAAAATAATAAATAGACACCTAAAGTTATTTTTTTCATGGATTTATCTTTGGATAAACGAATTATAGAATTGTGCCCAAAATGTTTTCAGTTCGTTGAAAAAATTTTCCGACATATGGCGAAATGTGCAAAAATAAAAAATCGTGTTACGGGGTCCAAATTTTGATCCCTTATTTTCACAAAATTTTTAGAATCATATCTCCTAGATTGTGGCTACTCCTTATATTTTGGGGGTACAAAATCAGTACCGGACGGGAAAAGGATATTTTTTTTTCAGAGAAAGTACATTTTTGTAATGCATACTTCATGTCACTGTCCCGAAAAAATAAGAATTTAGAACGCGTGAAGACTGATTATTAGTTTAATAGTTATTCAGGGTGGTAAATTTTTTTTGCGCACTGTACTTAGAACATAGCATAATCTGAAACAAAAAAAATTGTGAAAAGTTCATTAAACTGATTTTGTTTGCTTGGCATCAAAACTTACAGGAACCAGGGAAGTTGAAATTCCATCTTTTAAATCCTCCCCCTCCTCCATTTCCTAAAAATAATCAAATTATGATTATCAGAATCAGAAAAAAGGAAGTTGTAAATGATTGAACATTAAGTACATTAAAAAAATCAAAGACATACAAGCTAGAAATGAATAATAGATAACTATTACGTAAACTTTGTGAGAAAAAATAAATACATTAAGTAAAAAAAACTTTTCTAATTAGACAGGCAAATTGTGTAAAATGAATGTAAAAAAAATTGAAAATCAATGGAAAAAAAAAAAAAANAAAAAAAAAAAAAAAAAAAAAAAAAAAAAAAAAAAAAAAACGACCGCCATTGAATTTTAAAAAAACCTAATGATTGGCATTATTAAATAATACTGTCTGAAATCAAGTTTCTCAACTTCTAGATTAGCATAAATTTATAACCTTAAGAAAATGCATTCATTATTCAAAGCTCTTATGCTTTTAAATACTCGTATTTCTTTAATTTAAACAACAGCGAATATGAATTTAGTAAAGAAATTCGCACAGCGCATTTTTGACACAAGTTTTCGTTGCATATTTCGTTTTAAAATTCTATTTGGTACCTTCGTTATTTGTTTCGTCGTTATTTGTTGAATATGTTGATACTTTCACTTGTTGCAAGTTTCACTTTATTACTAATAACGATTAGTTTTTCTAAAATATTGCTAATTTGAAAATTTTATTATTTACCTCCTCCAAATGGTGATTGTGCACCTAAGTCTCCACCTAAAAATGGTGATAAATATACGATATAATTTCTAAATAATATTATAAAATAATACTATAAAACAGTTTTATATAGTATCGTATAATATTAGTGTAGGTATAATATTAGTCATTTAGTTCCATTGAAATTTTTGCCAAGATATTATTAAACAAAATTATCAATATGGGCCTTCCAAATATAAAAGCAAAGTTTTAATTTTTTTTTCTTTAATAAATAAATATATACGAACTAGTGTATGTATGCCAATAGTATTTAAGTTAGCTCTCATGAAAATTTCTCGAAAACCTTCATTTATTGATTAATGCTGGTAGATTTGAGCATTTTCCAGTTTTACTAACATAGACGTTTACATGTTATGAAAATATTGAAGTTTGCCTCACATAATTTATGTCCATTTGTCAGTCCTATGTTCGTTCATAAAGCCTATCAATTGACCGTAACCAAATAAACTCAAAAGTCAGACGTTAGGAGAACTCTCTATTACCTCGAATTTCAAAGGCACCTATAAACTTCATTTTACAAGCTTTTAGCATTCATATTTCTAAAAAAAATGTTTAAGATATTTTTATGAAGTTTTGTTTTTAAATATTAACGAATTTTCTCTTGACCCTTCAGCGCTAAATTTTTATTAAACATATTTTTACACTTTTTTCATTATTTTGTATTAATTTAGATCAAAATAAGTGAAAAACATTGCTAATAATTTATTCATTCTAATAATTTACGGTAATGAAATACACCATGAAACTAAAGCCTTTTCTTTCTTTGTGTTAAAGGTAAAACCATCCAAACGCGGCTCACTTCCAAAGAATAATTTTTTCAAATTTGCACTTATTTGCAGTTATTTAGTTTTTAGAGATACAGTTATTCATCATTGAAATTTCTTTATTATACAAAATCAATTATTGATAAATTTTTGAATATGAAAGAACAAAAAATTTCATAAACCTCGTTTTTGGATTTAATATTTTAACACAAACATAATTCCGATAATCTAACATATTTTTTTAATAACTATAAGACATCTTTTTATAGGTCAAAAATTCCAAAATACATTCTTGCTTCTAATTAGAGAGTCAGAAAATAAAATAGGTAAAAGGGATTTCGGATGCCTCAAAGTGCTAAAATACTCTTATTGTTAAACACAAAACATGCCTCTCATTCTATATTATTAGTTTGTGAATTATTTCAATATATCTTTTTAAATAGAAAATGGGGGCAATATTTTTATATACTTTGACAATCGAAGCCTGAAATAAAATAATTGATTTTTGGAAGTTATGAAACTGCAGATTTGTGTTAATGATATATTGTTGGGAATACAAACCGAGGTGAAATTGATAATTTACAATTATGATCAAATTTAAGATGAATTCTTATATAGAATTTTTAATTTTATAGATTCATGCTTTATGAAATTTTCAACTTTATGAGAAGTATTATAATATGTCACTAATTTAATAATAAAAAATATATTTGAGTTATAAATTGTAAGTTTTGGAATAAATTATGAACTTTTAATTTACCTGATCCAGATGATCCTGCAACAGCAGCTGAAAGTAAATTAAACTAATTTATTTAAGCTCATAGCTTTGTTATAAATTCATTATTTCAAACAATAAATACTTTTTTTGAAGAAAAAAATGGTATTTAGTCTAAAATTTATAAACTAATATAAGTTTTAATAATGTGACTAATAGTATCAATTATATTAGCTGATTCAACTCAAAATAATTTTGCATTTTAATTTAATTGATAATTCAGATATTGCTTGTAAAATAAATTTTTTTACATCAAAATTTATATTTACTTTTAAGTCTAATAATTTTTAATTTGAATTATTTAATTTTTATTGATAAATAAATAAAAAAAGAGCTCACTTCCAATAGCTGAGGCTCCACCACCTAAAGCAAGGCAAAAATACAAATATAAATTATATTAAAAAAATCTGCGTTTAAAAACAAAAATCAAAGATTAACGATAAAAGTGAAACAGAATTTCTACAAAATGTTTGTCTTTAGATTTAACAATAAATAAAAGAAGACTAAATCTACAAGGAAAGGGAATTACCAGATTAGAACTCGCTGAACTAAAGATTAACTTAAATCTTTTTATCGAGCTTGAAATGTTATTCTCTTTCAACAGTTTCGCTATTCATGTACAGTACGAGGGGAGAAAAAAGAACACCGAGTCACTTTTGATCTATTGTTCTATCTTTTGATTAAAAAACAATTGTTAGTAATTACTCATTCTTTTATTTAATAAAAGACGAAAAAATTTCAGTTGTAAGGTAAAAAAATTTTTTTTCTCATCATAAGAAATGCAATTTTATATTACAAAATATAAAATTTGATCACTATCAGTCAAGTTGAAGAGCTCGCTAGATCGAAGGGAGTACCGAACCTGCAACCTGTCATCGAGCACATCCTGATTTTCTTTCTGCTCTCAGAAATTAGCTGTAACCGACTGCAAGATGCAGATGTCATTTTTGTTATTGCGCACTTTTACCAGCCTATATAAACTCTGTGAAACCACAAAGTATTTACTACTGTTACTACTCAGTGTGTTATTCACTTTTGTATTTTAATTTATTTTAAGTTAGTCACTCAGTTTTGTGACTGTATCTTTTTCCTGAAACTAAATATTTTATTTTTATTCTCTTATGTATTCATATTGTCTTTCGTTCCCGAAAATGTGAGAACGTTATACTAGTTCTTACAAAGTAATTCCTGATTCATCGAGTTTCAATCGAGTAATAATTTGTGCAATGAATCCCATTATTAAGCATCAATAATTTTTAATATTACACCCGTTTCAGCAATTTTAAAAGTTAAAATTTGTTATTCGTCGTAAATTAGTCATAATCTTAATTTATCACACCTAAATTTATATATTGTTTTCAAGTACAGTTATTTATCTTTAAAAATCAAAGTAATCTCTTAGTTTTAAACGAATAACATCTTGTTTTGCGTGAAATCATATCATTAATATATTTTATAAATTATCTTCTTTTTTCCTTTTCAAAAGTATTGGCTTTTAAAAATAAGAAGAAGAAGAAAAAAAAACAAGGATGTATGCGAGGAAACTACGGGGGTTGATGACCAGAACAAGTTGGGGTGATGCCTCCAAGCCGATATTAACCTCTCACAGTACAGTACTTTAAAATGATAGAGTGCAAATTTCTTTACAATATGTGATGCATATTATTATATAGCAACTAATAATCTTTAAATAATATGGTAGCGAAATATTAAGATAAAAAAATTTTAAATTTCAAAGTGGTAACTTTTGATGTCATCTCGGAAGTGACAGAGGACTGCTAAAGGTTAAAAAATTGTAAGAAATGCCCCACCGTTGCTTTCGTTGATTTGAGTGTTCAACTTGACGTAACTCATATTTTGTTTAGTGGAAACTTTAACAATTTGAAATATGATATGTTGGAAAACTGCCATACATCAAGCACAAAGTTATAATTTGATGTAATGAAAAGGCCTTTTTTGTGTGTGAGCTTGACATTGAGTTATTTAGAAAATACAAGTTTTATCAGTCGTTGCAATTTTAAATGCTTTCCTGCAAACTTTTTTGCTGCTTTAAACAATGACTATAGAAAAAAATGGAATGCTAGAGTGGACTTAGGGCTCAAGATAAAAAGTGGAATTTTTATTATAATATAATTCAGCGAACCATTATCACTTTGTTCACACTTTTGTTATCATAAAGTTCCATTTCTACGTAAAATAGTAAAATAAAAATGATAACCAATTGTAGTAAAGTCATTTTTTTAACTTATAACTTAACATAAAATAATTCTTTGATAAAAGTTTGATAGCTTTATAGGCTATCAGTAAATGAAATTAATTTTGCTCTCACCATTTCCTGTGGATCCCCAGTTCCATTTGCGAATAACTGTTTGTCCATTGTTCCCATTGTTGCCACCACCTGCATCAAGAATGAAATTTAACATTTATTCAAAAGCTCCGAAATTTTTAAGACAATTTTCAAGAAATATTGTTGATTATACATTCGTAGGGTTTGAAATGTTTCAATAAAATATCTGGTGTTAAATGTAACAATGTTACAATTTGATCGCAATCAGAGTCAAATAATTCTTGAGTTATCGAGGTTTTAAAAAATCATATGTTTAAAATTTGATTTCACAAGAACTATTCGATTGATGTCATTCGAATGCTGCCTTTTACCATGTACAATTATATTTTTTGAAATGATGTAAAAATTAGCATACCTCGCCATTCGCATTTTTTCGACTATTATTAAATAAAATGATAAAAAATAACAAAATATTATTAATAATTATTTTTTGCTCTTAATTATCATTGAATAAGCGAATCTTATAATTGTGTGCGAAAATGTTTTGATTCGCTCAAACAGTGTTTGCTACATGGCTAAATACGCAAAAAGTAAAATTAACATTAAGGTGTCCAAACCTTCGTCTGCTCTCCTGACAAAACTATTTACCATATTTCTCAAACTGTGGCAACCCTGTCCGTATTCATCAAGGGTCGGTAAAGAGATATGGTTATTCCCAGAAAGTATGCTTTTATGTCTGATTTTGTAATTTTAAATATCGTAAGCATTAATTAATTAAAAGATAAGGTCCTTGAACCATTAAGAATGAGTTAAGAACGCGAAAATCAGATCATTAGATTAAAAATTATTCAGAGCGTCTCAATTTCTTTTTTTTCTTCTACTTTTAACTCACTGTATATGGGAAACTATGCCATAAATCTTCTTTAAAATTGATTTTTCATACATTTTCCTTTGCTCAATTCATGAAAAAACTTTATTTCTAATAATTTGTGTAATGAATCCCATTATTAGGCATCAATAATTTTAATATTACACCCGTTTCGGCACTTTTAAAAGTAAAATTTGTTATTCGTCATAAATTAGTCATAATCTTAATTTATCACTCATGCTATATTCCTAAATTTATATATATTTTTTCAGTACAGTTAATTACTTTTAAAAATCAAAGTAATTTCTCAAATAGGCGAATAACATCCTGTTTTGCATGAAATCATATCATTAATATATCTTAATATTAAAAAGAAGAGGAAAAAGAAAAAAAAAACAAGGATGTATGCGAGGAAACTACGGGGGTTGATGACCAGAACGACCTGGGGCGATGCCTCCGAGCCGATATTAACCTCTTACAGTACAGTAATTTAAAATGATATCTAAATTATATTGAGTGCAAATTTCTTTAAAATATGTAATGCAATATTATTATAAAGCAACTAATAATCTTTGAATAATATGGTAACGATATAAACTCATGTTTGGGAAAATTGCAACACCATGAAGAACTTACGCGAGTGAGCTGAAATTTTCAAGAAATGCAAAGTAGAGCATGATATGTAAATGATTAGAATTTCAGACCCGTAGCGCATGCGTATGCTGAGCAGCTCCCTCTGAACGGCGGATGGATCCGAATAAATAGACGGCTGTAGCCAAGCGAGTATGGTTATTGGTGGTTATCTGCTAGTGGTAAACGTTAGCTTAGTCATTACTAATGCCTATTCGATGAAAGAGAGCGAGATTTCAACAACTTACGGAGTTTAAACGGGGGAGAATCATCGGCCTTCGTGAAGCTGGATTATCTTATCGTGCAGTAGCCGCTCGTGTGCAGTGTAACAGCAGCACAGTGATGCATGTTTGAAAGCAGTGGATGGACGAGTCGGACAATTCGGAAATCCGGGAGTGGACCCCGAAATGTCACGTCAGCTCGCGATGATAGACACTTGTTCGGCGTTGCGCTAACGGACCGTATGGCTCCCTCTAGACAACTGGTATCACGGTGGTCAATAGCTACAGGTGTTTCATTGTGTGCTTCATCAATTTGTAGATGTCTGCTGCAGCGTGGACTGTGCGCAAGGACTCCTTTATACAGGATCCTTCTCATGCTAAACCATTGCCGCCTGCGGCTACAATGGGTCAATCAGCATAGGGACTGGCTTGCTGATTGGCAGCGTGTCGTGTTTTTTGACGAATCTCGCTTCAATTTGCGGTACCATGATGGACGCATTCGTGTCAGACGCTATGCCGGTGAACACCATCTTCCAGAGTGCGTTATCGAACGCCACAGTGAACGAATACCCGGAGTTAGGGTTTGGGGTGCCATATCATATCATGGACGATCTCAATTGCTACGAATTGTGGGTAATCTGAACAGCAACCGGTACATCAGTGAAGTTCTACAGCCCCAAGCTGTTCCCTTCCTTCAAGCCTTGCCAGGTGCTGTATTTCAACAGGACAATGCCCGCCCTCACATTGCTAGGACTGCTCAATCCTTCCTTGCATCACGACAGGTACAACTTCTTCCTTGGCCGGCATATTCCCCGGATATGTCGCCGATTGAACGTGTGTGGGATTTCGTTGGTCGGCGCTTCGCTCGTAATCCTCGTCCTGTTGCTTCTACAGACGAACTTTGGGTACGCATACAAACAGTATGGAATTCTCTTCCTCAGACAGACATTCAAAGTTTGCTTGACTCCATGCCACGTCGTGTAGCAGCACTTATTGCGGAGAGTGGTGGTTACACAAAATACTGATTTCGATCTCTTGTTATTGTTTGTTTGCTTTGAAAGTTTAATAATTTATTTGTACCACTACCACTCAACTGTGTATTTAATTTCATTCAATTATGACGATTCCTTCATGGTGTTGCAATTTTCACAAACAGGAGTTTATTAAGATACAAAAATTTTAAATTTCAGAGTGGTAACTTTTGATGTCATCTCAGAAGTGACAGAGGAGTGCTAAAGGTTAAAAAATTCTTGCTTTCGTTGATTTTAATGCTCAACTTGACGTAACTCATGTTTTGTTTAGTGGAAATCATAACAATTTAAACTGTGATATGCTGAAAAACTGCCATACGTCAAGCACTGAGTTATAAATTGATTTACTGATAGCTTTAAAAGCTAACAGTAAATTAAATTAATTTTGCGCTCACCATTTCCTGTGGATCCCCAGTTCCATTTGCGAATAACTGTTTGTCCATTGTTTCCATTGTTGCCACCATCTGCATCAAGAATGAAACTTAATATTTATTCAAACGCTCAGAAATTCTTAAAACAATTTTCAAGAAATATTGTTGATTATACATTCCTAGGGTTTGAAATGTTTGAATAAAATTTCTGGTGTTAAATGTAACAATGTTACGATTTGATCGCAATCATCAGTCAAATAATTTCTGAGTTATATGTTGAAAAACTGCCATACGTCAAGCACAGAGTTATAATTTGACGTACAGAAAGGGTCTTTTTTGTTTGTGAGCTTGACGTTGAGTTATTTAGAAAATCCAAGTTGTATCAGTCGTTGCAATTTTCAATGCTTCCCTGCGAACTTTTTTGTTGCTTTAAACTATGACTATAGAAAAAAAATGGAATATTAGAATGGACTTGGGGCTCATGAGAAAAAGTGGATTTGTTGTTATGATATAATACAGCCAACCATTATGTCTTTGTTAAAACTTTTGTTACCATGAAGTTTTATTTTCTACGTAAGATAAAAATGATAACCAATTTTAGTAAAGTCATTTTTTTTAACTTATAACTTAACATAAAATAATTTTTTTTATAAAAGTTTGAGAGCTTTAAAGGCTATCAGTAAACGAAATTAATTTTACCCTCACCATTTCCTGTGGATCCCCAGTTCCATTTGCGAATAACTGTTTGTCCATTGTTCCCATTGTTGCCACCATCTGCATCAAGAATGAAATTTAACATTTATTCAAAAGCTCAGAAATGTTTAAAACAATTCTTAAGAAATATCGTTGATTGTACATTCGTAGGGTTTGAAATGTTTGAATAAAATATCTGGGGTTAAATGTAGCCATGCAGTTGAAATAATCTTAAAAATATATTCGAAACCTTAAATTAAGGAACCTAAATAACCCATACCTAAATAAAAGTACTTGATAAATTCCTTACACTCGCAGAGAAATAGGTTCAAAGTTAAACTATAATATCTGCATTTTGGACCATGATGCTGTGCAAATTTGCAGCAAGCTTTAAATTCAACCTTATATTTTTGTTTCAATTTTAACTATGGTATTGAGTAATCATGTTAAAAAATGGCATAATATGGTTCAATTTGGCACCACATTCAAGTTAACACCAAACTTCTAACAGCGCTATGAATTTTTGAAAAGAATATTTTAAATCAATTGAAATATGATTAAACTAGTCAATAAATACATTTTTTCATAAAAAAGAAAAATGTGTAAGTCGCTGGGAGAAAAAAAAACCCTGGTAAAATTTTCATATTTTGTGGTAATAACATTTTTGGTAAAAAAAAAAAACATAATTCTTGTAATAAAACTAAAATACACAGTATTCAAACTATTAATTTGGTAATTTTCCGTTTATGTAGTAACGGTTTACCGGAAATTCTTATATTAAAAATTATAGATTTTATGACCACATATTTAGTAAAAAATGCTAAACCTAAAAGAAAATTTAACCGAATAAATAGTTTATCTGTCATGATTGAGATATCATAATAAAATAACCAAATTCTTCGACAGTCATATCACATATTATAAAACCATATTTTAATGTTAATTTTGTCAAAATCATTACCAAAATGCTTCCGTAAATATTACCGACATTTTGGTTTTTCCATAGAGTTCGAAACACGATAAATGTTACCATATTCTAGTATATTTGACCATACTTTTTTTCGCTGTGTATTATAAATTTATGTTCCATAAATGACTTTAACATAATTTTGAAACCAAAATATTATTATTTTTAATACCATTATATTATAATCTCATGTCATGTTTTCTTCCACTAAACTTTTGCATCATTAAATAATAAAGATTCATTTCATTTAAAAGCTAATTGTGTTCCAGCTTTAAATTTATGTTCCATAAATGTTACTTTAGCATAATTTTGAAACCAAAATATTATTATTTTTAATACCATTATATTATAATCTCACCTCATGTTTTCTTCCACTAAACTTTTACATCATTAAATAATAAAGGTTCATTTCATTTAAAAGCTAATTATGTTCCAGCTTTAAATTTATGTTCCATAAAGGTTACTTCAACATAATTTTGAATCCAAAATATTATTATTTTTAATACGATTATATTATAATCTCATGTAATGCTTTCTTTCACTAAACTTTTACATCATTAAATAATAAAGGTTCATTTCATTTAAAAGCTAATTATGTTCCAGCTTTAAATTTATATTCCATAAATGTTACTTTAACATAATTTTGAAACCAAAATATTATTATTTTTAATACCATTATATTATAATCTCATGTCATGTTTTCTTCCACTAAACTTTTACATCATTAAATAATAAAGGTTCATTTCATTTAAAAGCTCGCTAAATTTCATATTTTTATGGCTGAGTTACAATATCATTGAAAAAAGCAAAGTATTAAACTAAATTGCCTAAAACAATTTTACTTGAAAATACCACTTTGAAAATATTATAAATAATTTAACTATGTAAACTGAAAGCTGATAGGGCTATAAAAATTATGATAGGTGTTAGATAATGAAAAAGCATTAGTTGAATGAAACGCCTCAGATTATGATTTTGAAGTTTCAATTGGCAACTTGAAACTCGATAAGAAGTGAAGTGATTGCGTCTAACCATGTGATTTAAATCAGATTTAATTGGATACCTGTAAGTGACGTCATGCGTGTGTGTCGAAAATTATTATCGACAAATGCTTATGATTTAGCTACTATGACGTCACTTGCAGATCTACAATGGTGAACATTCATTGATTGACGTATGGTTGGAGATATTGTTAAAAGTTGAATTTAGTTAATTCTGTTAATTGGGTATAATATGAAAAAAGCACAACTACTTCCACTTACTAGGAATAACATTTACCTTTTAGTTTAATTAATAAGCTGAGTTTTAAATATGCTTACTAAATTCATAAACTTTGGTAAAACAACAATATAAATTATTTCCAAAGGAACTAGACTAATACAATTCCAACCTGGCGAGTAGCGATTTATAACAAGACACTTCGTTTGATGCTTTTACTTGTTTCTAGAAATCAGGTTCGCAGAAAATGCTGTTTACTAGTTAAATTTAGTAGGAATAACACGATCTGTGACGTAGGCTATAGTATACCCAATTGTAAAAAGCACAATGTGCAGTAGTTCACAAAGAAAGATCATATTCCAGCTGAACTTAGGCAGCTAGCTTTCGAAATTTTAGGCGAGATTCCTAGTGACGCCGTAAAAATTTACACAGACGGTAGTGGACTGGGAGACCTAGCTGGTAGCGGCGTCTTCATTGAAAAATCTGTGCAAAATTACTCCATCTGTCTCCGTAATCTTGATTTCACTTCAGTCTTTCGAAGTGAATTAATCGCAATTGAACAGGGCATCGATGCTATAATCAACGAGAACGACTTTGGAGATCTTTGGATCCTGTCGGACAGTCGCAGCTCCCTTCATCACCTACACAACTGGACCAAAGTTGGAGACAAAACAAGCATCTCCATCCTTCTTAAGCTTCAACTTATTTCAAAGTACGACGACATCCATCTTCAGTGGATACCATCCCACGTTGACATCTTTGGCAATGGGCAAGCGGATCGATTGGCCAAGGAGGTTTGTAGTCATTCAACACCTTACCTACTCAGAGAATCAGTTCAAAATCAAAAGCCATCTATCAAAAAAGTGGAGGATCCCCCCCCCCTACCTCATCATTGGTATGCGGCCAAAGTACCGGGCTCTTCACTTGTTCATATAAGTGATAGAGCGTCTCAAACAGCAATTTCTAGATTGGCAAGTGGACACACAAATAGTCTCCCGTACTTTAAAGGAAGAAAGACTTATGCAGTCAGCTCCAAATGTGAAGCCCAGCAGGCCTCAGCCGAACATATCCTTGACTGCTTGGGCCTTTCCAAGGAGGACTTATATGCTACTCCACTTCTTGTCATCGACTTTTTGAGGGTCAACAACCTATTGGATCTTGTCTGACGAAGTCAGACAATTAGAGGATAAGGAACAACAACAACAACAACAACAACAAGCACAATGTTCATTTTGTTTAGGAAACAAAATAATAAGGACTTACTATTTCCACCCCAGTTCCAACTCCATTTGGAACCTCCTCCTCCTCCTTCTTCGTTCGTTCAAGATGATTGAAAAAGATATTATATTAAAATATCATGAAATATTCTTTTTTTAAAAAAAGATAGTAAAACTTAATATGACTCTAATATTAAAATTATGACTCAAATATTAAACATGGCTGTCTAATTTTATATCACACACAGTATGGTAAATATGTGCGTCAAATTATCATTTTTAAAACTTAGTTACATTTTAAGAAATCACTGATACATTTTATATAGTTTAATATAATAATTTATGCTTTATGTAATAAAGATAATTTGATTTTATATTGTATTAATTTTTTTTTATCTATTTTTCTTACTTTATTGACATAAACGCTTTCGTTGAGATTTAATTTTTATAGATATACGTATGTTAGATGTTTGAAGTAAGGTAAGTCAATTAAAACAATAAAATTTTCGTTTGTTTTGAATTTATCTTGCTTGTAAGATCATTATATTTTTTTTAATTTATGCAATTGTTATCGTCTGCTTTTTCCTTTTAACAATTATGCAATAAAGAAAAAAATTTTGTGATGAAATTTCCGTCAGCCTTAAATTTTTTTTGGTATAACGTCATTTTTGTTAATAAGTATATTTTTTTGTTAATAAGTATATTTTGTTTATAAGTATATTTTTTTAATAACAGTCGTCACTTGTTGGAGAAAACGAATTTCGACAAAATTAAAAAATATTCTCGACATTCCACTTTTCTATAAGATCAAAAAAGAAAAAAAAACTTGCAGATTTTTACTGCAATTACTTTATTGTAGGCACCATAGAGATGTATCTATGTCGCCTTGATAAAGAGATAAATAGAACAGAGAGATAAAATATACTTATGCCCAAAGCGGCATTCGAACCCGTGATCTTCTTGGAATGAAGCCAACGTCTTGACCACCATACAAACGGTTGGATTGTTCCGTCATTTTATTTTCGATCGTATAGTCTTCATTCTAATTTCCCCATTCTAGTTAACAATCTCCCACAATTCACTTACATGACGTTTCAAGTTGAAGGAACATATTCGTCAAATATATGAGAGCGTTTCGTCACGAAATGCTTCTCAACGTGACTAAATGATTCTCAACGTGACGAAATAATTCTTAAAATTAACGATATACAGCTCAAAAATTGCGAAAAATTTTATTAAAGAGGGTGTTGTTGAAATGCATTTAAAGTTATACACGTTGCTATTCTTAGTTTAGAGATATAAAAACTGTGCGAAAAATTTGACAAATTAAAAAAAATTAAAAAATTTGAGAAGGTGTAATACGATTCCTAAGAAAGCTTTGCCATACTGACGAAGAAAATATTCCTCGCAAATTCTCTTTCTCCCTCATTACTAATTTAGAATTTAAAGAGCAGAAAAAGCGAGCTCAGACAAATCTAGAGTAAGCCATATAGTTTCAAATACTGTAGCGAAGTATAAAAACTGTGTGAAAAATTTGACAAATTAAAAAAAATTAAAATATTTTTAGAAGGTGTAATACGATTCCTAAGAAAGCTTTGCCATACTGCTGAAGAAAATATTCCTCGCAAATTCTCTTTCTCCCTCATTACTAATTTGAAATTTAAAGAGCAGAAAAAGTGAGCTCAGACAAGTCTAGAGTAAGCCATATAGTTTCAAATACTGTAAAGAAAAATTTAAAATATGCAAATGAAAATGAATTATAATATGATAACTTAGGATTACGCAACGAAGAAGTTCTCTTCTGATAATTTGTTAGCATTTAAATATCTTGAATTTTTTTTTAGCAATTGAAACTTCAGCAGTGGAACCAAATTCTAAGTTTGCCTAAACATACTTTTTCTTTCTTTTAAAATTTAAATTAATAATAAAGGAGAAAGAGAATTTGCGACGAAAATTTTCTTCCATGGTACGGCGTCCTCTTAAAGCATTCAGACTACACTGCTGGAAATTTCTCCGAAAAAATGGTTAAGTAACAATTTATTGAATGGTTATTTTACCATATTTAATCAAAACAGTCAAATAACCATAAATAAAATGGTAATCAAACTGTTAAGTTTGAGAGAAACTGTTTATTAACTGCTTTCACCTAATACGGTTAAAAGAACAGGAATTTTATCACCGCACCAATTGAAACCACCGACTGAAGCTACTTAGTTCTTTGCAACTGCGTGCATATCATAGCCGAAGCGGGCCTATCTGTCAATCTCATGACCGGCAGAACGGGAGTTCGAGTCCTAGTGTTGACACCACAATATTTCCTCCATTTCATTCAACAAATGAAGAATTTCCAGTGTCCGGCACTGTCCAATGCCCATTATCTTATGAAAAGCCGACCTCCTGTATCTAGTTAAATGATAAATTTTTTCTACGTTTTTGAAAAATGGTAGTAGTAAATGGTTGAAAAACTGTATACTTTTGTCTTCATGGTCTTATAACCGTACTTTTTGCAAATGGTTTCAAAACCATAAAGGAAAAAAATGTTCTTTACCGTAAACTTTACGGTTAATTGGATGGACAGACAGCTGCCGGTTATTTTACCATAATTTTGGAATGAAAATTTCAACAGTGTAGTTTTTATACTTTTAAACAGACTCTGTTCGTCAATGAATCTTCAATATTTGAGACCTTTTAAATCACCCTACTTAGAGATTTATTTTCCATTAACTGATAAATTTCTTTAATTAATTTATGACAGGATTCTGAATGTATATATATTAAGGGTCATTCAAATTGTTTATGTAAACCACTAGATGCTTACCTGGAGCAGGTGTTTCAACGGGTGATAGAGTGATAACTTCGTCGCCACCACCACCTTTATCTAAAATTAACAAAATATACCAGATAAAGATATTTAAAAAGTATTCCCATTGATAGTCCTACTTCTAACGTAACCCATTGATAGCCCCACTGAAACTTCTGCACTGACAAAAAACATGAAAAGACATCTACCAAACAAAACAGTTAATACTGCCATTCGCTTATAACTTAAATCAAAAATAAAATGTTAGCTTTTGTTCTGAATTCAATTCCAGCTTATCTTAATACCACAAAAATATAGCAAAACTAATGACTTGAAATATTGGTGGCTTAGAAATAGCAGAATTAAAATCATAAAAAATTGGGTTCATAAACTAAGGATGCTCAATAGTTAGTCACATTAAATTTAATATTTAAATTACCGAAATTAGCTGCAAAATTAATAGTGAATTAAACAATTAGCCAAACTCCTTTCAAATTAAATAAACTTAGCCTATAAGCTATAACAATATTGAATAGACACGAAATGAAATATGAAAATAAAATATAGAAATAGTATCGAATATTTTATTTGCCTAAAACCAAATTATGTGGCGATTAAAAGTAAATGATAGCGTTGTAAAAGAATTTATTATTTAAAATATTGAAATAATCTAAGAAAAGCATATTATTATATATTAATATATTGTTTATTACCAAAACCGTATTTCTAAATTAATTAAATTATTTAATTTAATCTCACAGAACTTTAACTTTTTATTACCTATTTTTGCGATTGCATTTTTATTATTTTACTTCTTTTTAAAATCTATAGCGCAATAAAAGTGAATAATATTTTTACCTCCACCTCCTCCGCCTCCAAGCCAGCTCCATCTCCCACCTGTCCACCTTCCTCCCCCTTAATAAAAAGAAATTGTCATAAGTTATGTATCAAATATTTTTTAATTATTTATAACGCAAACTTTAGCTTTCATTAATCTGACTCTAACATTTAATTAAATTGTGAAATATAATAATTTAATACTTATTAAGAAGCAACAAGGAAGGTTCAACTGACTGTCACCTAGCTTATATTGTTTTGCAAGCAGTTTCAACTAAAAAAATAACATCCTAAGATAATTAAGGATTATTAATTACAATTAACAGGAACGCGCTACTTTTGTTCTTCTAACCGTGAGTTAAACTTTTTTTTCTTGTTTAGTTTTGTTTCCGAATTTTACAGGTGTTTTTTGCCAAACTTGCTACAGTCCTGATTTGAATCTGTAATCAAAATGGATCAACAAAAGTAATTCAAGTTATATTTGTTGATAAAATTGTTTTCAAAAAGGAAATTATTATTAAAGAAAAATGAAATCTGTGTGTGTTTTCAAAATTTAAAGTAATTGAATTGGAATTTGTATTATTAGTTCATTGGAATTTGTGGTATCAGCCATTGGGAGTAATTGGAATCTGTATTATATTTAAATGATTCGGGAAAATTTATATTTGAGAGCCTACTATCTAAAAAGTTTAAGTTGAATTTCAGATAAATAAAAAAGATCATGTTTTTTTTTCAATGACGTTCCAATCAATGAAATTAGCTTTCGTAATTTTCAAATGCTATTTTCTCAAAAAGAGGATTTTCATAGTCAATGACATAACTTCTTATATGTTTAGCAGATTAGACTAAAATGTTAACAGCAGGTGAATGATTAAAGTGATTTCGCGCAATTATAAATTCGCTTACTCAAAGATGCAAAAATAGCGGTTATTAACTATTTATTATTTCTTCATAGTTTCTTTTTATAAGAATCTGCCGTATTGTTCCTAAGAAATCAAATTTTTAAAGAAAGTCATATTTTTAAAATTTGATTTCTTAGAGACTGCTCTACCGATTTCGTTCAAGTTTTGTATTTTGCCGTGTAAAATTACATTCTTTAAAATGATGTAAGAAATTTTTATACCTTACTATTCAAAATTTTTTCGACAATTACTAAATTTCATTATAAAAAATAGTAAATATTTACTTATTACTTTTTATTGTTTTATTTAATAATAGTCGAACAAATTTCGAATTGTATGGTATAAATTTTTATAATCATTTTAAACTATTTAATTTTACATGGCTAAATACAAATTTTGAATTAAATCAATCGAATAGTTCCTGAGAAATTGAATTTCAAAATAGTCAGATACTTAAAATTCGATTCCTCAGGAAATACTCGACCGATTTTTCTCTCATTTTGTAATTTGATTTGTAAAATTATATAATTTGAAATGATGCTAAAAATTGTGTACCTTACTATTCAAAACATTTTCTTTCATTATTTAATAAAGTAAAAAAAAATAATAGATATTTTCTAAAAAGTATTCCTTGCCTGGAACTATCTTTGGATGAACTAATTTTATAACTGCGTGCGAAAATGTTTCAATTCACTAAAAAAGTTCTCAAAGTACGCAAAAAGTGAAATTTAGAACGCTCTCCTGACCAAACTATTGGGGCCATATTTCCTACATTACGACTACCTCCAATATTTTGGGGATCAGAAATCAAAGTCCGACGAAAAAGTAGTATATTTATTCAAAGAAAGCACGTTTTATGTCTGATTACGTATCTTAAAATATCGTCTGAAGTTAATTATTTAGCATATTCCAGTTCACCTCCTCGGGCCATTAAGATTGAATCCTCGAAAACGAAGATCTGAAATATAGATCAAAAATTATTCAGTGTCTATTTTTTTTACTTTTTTGCACACTGCACATTCCAATCCAGGAAGAAGACTTTACAAGATAGAAAACTTTATGCAGTGGCAGCCACAATGATATATCAATTTGTTACAGTTTGGAGAATACAGTTCCAATATCTTCGAAGATCAGTACTTTTAATTTCACTTTTTGCTTATTTCTCTATATCTTAAAAACTTTTGAATGAACGAGCTTTATGCCATGATGTGTCATTTTTGAAAATATTGTATAATACTTCCTAACTCTACCTGGGGTGGAGAAAACACCTATGGTGGTTAGAGCATCAAACTACGTACCCGGAGGAGCATGGTTGGAATCTTGTCTCTAGCCAGCAGAAATCTCTCACACATTTTTGAGACTATGCATTTCGCACAACAATGAGTATATGCTGACTCAATTTTGAATACCTACATGTAATTCTCAAATATGACTATCATTTGTTCCAGACTTATTTTGATGTATTATGCTCAATCAAAAAAGACTTTTTCCGCAGAGCACTGAAGTAAAAATATTAATAACTTACAGGGGATAAAAGAAAAAGAAAGCTATTTTATATTGAAATGCTCAAACATTTTCTTGAGAATAATATGCAGTTCAAAACTGAGTTAAAAAGTTTGAATGCTTTAAGTGATTTAGTAAAGTTAAAATATTGTTAATTTACCGGTATTTTCAATGGGTGACTGAGTGACTTGACCACCACCGTTATCTGAAAGACAATTAAAAGTGTTACTTAAATTGATATCGTGATACAAGTTCTTAACAGTTTTTCATACTTAAATTCAGTTATATTTATCATATTTTGAATTATTAATGAATACTTTATAATTTTAAAATGCAATCTTTGAAAATTTTTCTCAAGTTATTAATACAGCCAAAATAAATAGGATTAGATCAAGGACATTTTATGATATACGTGAAGTTGGTGTAGCATCAATTCATCGCGCACAATTCTTCGTGAACAAAAATCGTCGTGTATAGTTCGTAAGGAGAATTCGTCACAGGGACGATTCATCGCAGTCACAATTTGTCACGGTGACGATTTGTCGTTGACACAATTAGTCGGGAGTACAATTCCTCGTGAGCCTATTTCGCAGTGGGCGCAACTATTCAGGAGGACAATTCATCGTTGTGATGACTCGCTGTTGCTACAATTGCCTGCTGCTTCGATGAAATACATTTGTTTGAAGACTATGCATTCATTGTTATATACAGGGTGATTCTAAAAAGATGGGCAAAATTTTAGGAAGTGATACTACACACCCAAGCAAACAATTTTCATCAAAGAATGCATGGTCAAAAACAAAACGCAAAGGTGCTGGCTCATTTCGAAAGTTGTTTAATGCAAACGTGAAAGCTCCATTCCTGTTGCGAGTTACTGCGCTGCGTCACTTGTCGCCAAACTTTCGGCCGCTGCAGGGAAAGTTCGTGATATGTGTGTTTCAGAATGTTCGCCTATCTTTTCTTCGCCGTTGTACTGCGTGCATAGCCGCTGGTGATGTTTGAGTGAGCTATAGGTCAGGTTTACCGGGAAATTTGCTTTTCTTATGTTATCAAATAGAGGGCAGTGAATCAGTATATGTTCCAGGTCATCTGTAACTTTGCAGTTATTGCATAGGGGAGATTTATTGTGAAACTTGGATTGGTATGTACCCTGGGTTCCGTGGTTTGTGATAAATTGGTTCAAGTAGAAATTTCCATAAATTTTACGGTAATTTACCCTCGGGATTAGATGGTGGGTATGCCTGCCCTGGTTTTGATCATCATCCCACATATTTTGCCAAAGATTTATATTTCGTTTGAACATCGATAACTTTACTGAACTTTTTGGCTTCTGGTCAAAGAGATCAATTTCGGGTCTTTGGCAGGCCAATTTCGCCTGACTGTCAGCCTCCTCGTTGCCGTGGTGTCCGACGTGAGCCTTAATCCAATGGATTATCATGTTTGATTTATATTGATCTTTTATCAGTTTAATTAAGCAATCGTTTTCCTCGGGGTTTGCCAGTGATTGTAATCCCGAAAGGGAATCGGAAAAAATATGAACATCTCTATTTAATTTGTTCTTAATTATCCAGTACATTGCCTGAAGAATCGCCCATAATTCTGCTTGAAAAACGGATGAGTAGTTATTAAGTCTATAT